ACTGTGTGAGGCTGAGGCCTGGGAAAGCACTGTCCTCTCCATAAAGGGACTGGGAAATCTGTATCCTGCCTGGGGTTGAAACTAGAGTTAAGCCACCCACTGCATAATATATAGGCAGAGTTCTTAGCTTGCAACTCAGTTGAATTTGGGTAAATTCTATTCCTGAACTGGCTTTAGGCTGTAAACACTGTAGATATATAGAGACAAACTTAAAGCTGCCTTCCAGGTTGGTTTCCATTAACATACAACATGTATGGGACCCTCATCAAAGATTGTTCCTGCATAGTTTTTTTAAATAATGGTATACATAAAAATATGCTATGAAAGTGTCTAAAATTTTATATATAAAGGTATTAGAATAATCTGAAAGGATCTTGAAAGGGTCTTTAAGTATTTAATGAGATAAGAATATTAAATTATGACACTAAACAGGTAAATATGAAAAAAATTAAAATGTAGACATAAAGCAACCACCGTAAAAAAAAAATGACATATCAGAAGTGTCTAAAGAACTATGAGAATTTATGTATTGGAGAAATTGTTTAATTAGGAAAATCAAATTTTACCTTGAAGAATGGAATTTATAAGGGAAAGGGACAGACTACATTGAAGAAGCAAGGAACAACATAACCAAAGGTTCAGGAACTGAAAAATTTGGAACATGACAGGCAATCTATATTAGAACACTGAACTACTAACCAAGTGATATTGTACATGTCAGTCTGTCTCTGAGCGTTAGTATCCTCATTTAAATTGATGCATTTAAAGTAGGTGATGTCTAAGACTCACCCAAGTGTCACAATTAGATTTGTGATTTGGGAAAATATTTAAGAATATAAGTATACTAGTTAGGATAAAGCACAGTTTATTTTGAGGTTTATGTACTTGGTAATGTGAAATACTCTTCTATTTTAGGTAGAAAGTTCTATAAAGGTTATCAAGGTCATAATTATGTGTTAATAGGTAATTTTGTTGATTAGTGTTTCTGTTGGCAGTAGATCCATTAATTTAAGGGGAAAAAAGTTTCCTTAAGCCCAGCCTAGAGCAAAAAATTGGTTACATTATTTACTTCCAGAGAAGAGAACTAGTTAGTTGGAGGGAGGTTGGAAGGAAAACTTTCTGCTATTTCCTTTACTTGGGTATCTTCAGTTTTCAGCATGTGAAAATGAATGATAAGAAACATCACACCCGTGGTACACATGATCCCAATAACCTGTGGTTTTGTTCCTCTGAGGCACTATCAGAATTTGTAAGAATTTGCTGTCTCCCCAGAAGATGGTTGGTTGCCTGGAGTAGTAGAGATCTAGATAGGGAAAGTAATTTTCTTGTGTTTGACTCAAAAGATGGTTTGAGTAGCCTCATCTACTGGTTTCTTACTGTATTTTGAGCTGTCTGGAGATTTTGAGGTTTTCTGTTAATAGAGCATATTTAGAAGTGCTGTCATTTTGGAGCACTTAAATTTATAAAGATTTCCAGCTGCAGGTTTTCCTCAGTCATTTTTTTGTCTTCCTCTTTTCTGCATTCTCTGTCAGTGTATTTTCAATGCCCTCAGTTCTTTTTTCCTGTAACATATGATGAAACCGGCACTAGTGTCTTAGTTTGGTGACCTTGTACAATGCTTTTCTCTTTGTCAAAGATCAGAATATCTTTCTTTCACATCGTTTCACACTCTTTTCCATTTATTTCCCTATATACATTGAGTAATTAAAACTTAATGCATCCGTGAGTAAAACATTGTAGACATTAGAGGCAGACTCCCAGCATTGCATCACATTTAATATTGGGATCACCATTTACACCCTTATTCTTTGGTGACACCCTAAGCCTCATCTAAATGGCCTTGAAACATTAAGTTACATCTTATTTCAGAGGTTGGTGTATGAGAGACAGAAAATAACTTCCACAGCTACCTGTAAAACTACCGATAGTGTTTCAGCATCTAGGAATAAGTAATCATCAATACTTACATCTTTATTTGAAGTCTTCCTTGACTTCTGAATTGAAAGCTCTGTAGAACCAAACCAGATATAATGCTGCCACTCTTCAAATATGTGTGTGTGTGTGTGTGTGTGTGTGTGTGTGTGTGTGTGAATGTTTTAGACTTGGTGGGCCACATACACATCTGTCATTCACTTTTTTTTATGTTTAATATATTTTATTTTATATAATTCTTACATCATTTTTCATTTTTGCACAATGTATGCATTTTCATTTCGGTTATATTCCCCATACAATTGCACCCCCTTATTTTGACCCTAATCCCTCCTCTCCTCCCCCCACCCCCTTTGTCATTCACTGGTTTTTTATGTCCATATAAAAAAATGTAAAAACTATTCCTAGTTCAAGGACCTTACAAAAACAGGCCATAGCCTGCTGCCTTTTAGAAAAGCAAGCCCAATTTTGAGTTCGAAACTACACTACCATAAGACAGTATTGTTGCCTATAAAACAATATATTCTTGACACACATTAGTGGCTTGTCTAATGCGCACATTTAAATTGTGGAGGGCATTGCCCCCCTGGAGAAGTCTTGTTGTTTCAACATTAAAAAAAGAAACTTGTTCCAAAAATCAGGAAAATTGAAACTGGGTGAGGGGTTTGTGGAAACTCTTTACTGTCTTGGAACTTTTGTGTAAACCTAAAATTATTAGAAAATAAGAGCTTGTTTTTAAAATCGTATCTTAAAAGATAGCCCTTTTCTCCCTTTTTTTTTAGTCAAGGTTTTTGTTTTGTTTTAATAAAGAAATACACTTTACCTGTCTATACACTTGAAATGGATGATTTTTTTTTTTTAGATTTATTTATTTATACAAGCACTGGATACAGTCAGAAGCGTGGGAGGGTGAGAGAATTCACCAGAGCCAGAGCGGAAAATAGAACAGGCAGACTGACGGAATACACTGCTGAGGGGAGCAACGGGCTTGGCAGGAGAGGTCTGTCACGCCATGTGGGATCCTCGTCGGGGGGCCGGGGATCGAACCAGCGCTGCAGAGGCTGCAGGCAGCTTCGCAGCCCAACGGTCAACCACTGCGCCACCAGGGGAGGCCCGAAATAGATGATATTCTAAGATACGGTTTGGTGACTTAATTTTCTTCTCATTTGAAAAGGCTCCTCCTCTTTGTTCCATGAAAAGGGAAGGGCAGCCAAGAGCCTTTTCTTAGGAACATCTGTAGGTACATAGTTAAAAGTCACACCTTCTAACCCCTAATTTAATGCCATTTCAGTCTTCACTGAGGTCTTTTTTTTTTTTTTTTTTTTTTTTTTTTTTAAGATTTATTTATTCATTTATACATGCACTGGGTACAGTCAGAGGTCTGGAAGGGTGAGAGAATTCACCAGAGCCAGAGCAGAGAGTAGAACAGGCAGCGTGATGAAGTACACTGCTGAGGGGAGCAGCGGGCGGCAGGACAGGTCTGCGTGCCATGTGGGACCCTCCTCCGGTGGCCGGGGAGCAGCCGGAGATCAAACCGGCGCTGCAGAGGCTGCGGGCAGCTTCGCAACCCAGCGCTCAACCGCTGCGCCACCGGGGAGGCCCTTCACTGAGGTCTTATACAATTAGAATGCTACTGGCATTTGTTAGCGTGGTTGATACAACTGTTTCAATTTGTCTCTTTAAAGTTTATTTTGAAATAATTTCAAATGCTTGTTTGCATGCATCATAACTTCTTAACCCTTTAGTACATCATTGTGTATTTAAAGGCCAAGACTAGTTCTTACGTATTGTTATCAAATTCAGAAAATTTTAAATTATAAAATGTGTTTATGTGAGGTACACTGTATCTTCCAGCTTTGTAATGGTACCACTAGTGTCCTTTTAAACATTTATTAATATGCAGTCTACACCTAGGTAGGCTTTGCATTTAATTGTCATATATTTTGTCTTAATTACATTCCAGTATTACCTAACTTTGTCTTTATGACATTGACATTTTTAAAGAGAATTGATCAGTTATTTTGTGATGTTTATTATATAGATTTCTTCGTTTTGTGACCATATTTGGCACTACATTTATATGGAATATCTAGAATAGGTAAATCCATGAAGATGGAAATCAGATTGGTAATTGCAGGCTCTGGGAGAGGAAGGAAGAGGGGTTAACTGCTTAGTGGGTACAGTGTTTTCTTCTGGGATGATGAAAATGTTTTGGAACTAGATAAGGCTAGCGATTGTATATTATGGATTTTGTAAATGCCTCTGAATTGTTTAAAGTGATTAGTTTATGTTTTGTGAATTTTACCACCATAGAAATTAATATTAAAAATACCAATGTAAATGGTTCCCCATATGTACATCATGAATTTCCAGCTAGTAGAAATTCCATTTAAAAGCATATTGTATCATAATTGCAATGATCTACTATGACTGAAGATATAAATGAGTATTGTAAATTGACTTTTAATGAGAGAATTGTTACATAAAGAAACTTACATTCTAGTCAGTAAATATGTAAGAGTTCTCCATTTTGAAAATTTTCTGTATGGTGGTGATGGACAAAAAAACATGTTTTCTAGCCAGTTTTCAAGATGTTTCAAATATTAAATAACAAGCTTTCTAGAAACAAAGAAATTTAGTACATTAAATTTAAACATTGCATATAGTATATTAAAATTTTAAGTCATGAATAATAATCTGACTAGTTCTCTTCCTTTGAATGTGTATATTCAAGTCTACTTGTTACTTACTTTTCCTCCTTTAAACTCCCAATCTCATTTAAGTGGAACTCACTTGGTTGTTTACTAGATGTTAACTTCTTAACCTCTCAATTTCATTCTCTCTTAAGTGGGAGACAACTTTAAAGTGTTGTCAGGAAAAGTACGTCTTTGCCTTCACTTTATTGTGATCTTTGACAACCATTAGCAATCTATAGAACCATAAATGCATTTTGAAAAAGCTTTGTCATGTGTGCAAAATTAAGCTTCTTTTGAAAACTGTTAAATGATATACATGGAGTTCTATCACAAGTGTCTTATCAGTGTTTTATTTGCTTTGTTTTTTCCCAGGAAAAAGAAAAGATGTTGTCCCGGTTAAGAATAGCTGCTTCCCCATGCACGCAGGCATGCCGCCGTCACTTGACCACAAAAGAGAAAGGCAAGCCACTTATGTTGAACCCCAGAACAAACAAGGTGCGTAATACGTGTACTCCGTACATTTTCTCTCTTCCTGGTAGAGATTTATTTGTATGTTTTAGACTGGTAAAGCATGAAATTGTTGGCATTTTGTATATTCCAAAATTTTTCAGAAGTATTGGCTTTTTCTGCATGAACCTTTCACTTTCCTCCATGTGACAAGGATCATGAATGCATTATACCTACCAACTTCACCCTTCACTTCTACCACTAGAAGAGGATTGACTTTATTCCCTAGTTCTAGAGCCACCCCCCCAAAAAAAAAAGCGGAATAGCAGTCTTACCAGGACTCTTGCCAAGATTTGGGATATTTAGATTTACCAGCTCAAATAACTACTCATCCTAGACCCATCAGTTGGGCCTTTGCAATATGGGGTCAGAATTATAAAATAAAATGCTCTCTCCCCCTAGCGTTTTTGGACACAATCATTACACACAAGTAATTTTGCTCATTATTTGTACTATTGCTTTAAAGGAAAGAGACCTCTGACTCTTTTTATACTCTTAGGTGCAGAAATGACGGGCGGTATTGAAATCTAGTCATTCCTTATCCAAACTGGGTTCAGTGAGCAAGTCCCTCTCTATTTTTTAGTGGCAATAATAAATAGTAATTAAACATAATTCTATAAAGAGATTTTTTTTGAAAGATTTATTTATTTATTTATTTATTTATTTATTTATTTATTTATTTATTTATACAAGCACTGGGTACAGTCAGAAGCGTGGGAGGGTGAGAGAATTCACCAGAGCCAGAGCGGGGAGCAGAACAGGCAGACTGACGAAATACACTGCTGAGTGGAGCAACGGGTGCAGCAGGAGAGGTCTGTGCGCCATGTGGGACCCTCGCTGGCCAGCTGAGTATCGAACCGGTGCTGCAGGGGCTGGGGGCAGCTTCGCAGCCCAGTGCTCAACCGCTGTGCCACCAGGGGAGGCCCTATAAAGAGATATTTTTATGAGAATTTTGTATATAGATATATTGGTCTTATATAAAATGTACCTTTTGGGAAAGATGCATTCAAATTAGATGTGATTGATTTCAAAGCACTTATAAATTGTTTCCCAAATGGGAAATAATTATATGCTAGGATATGTTTTTAGGGGTTTCAGGCCTACTAAGGGGTATTTGATCATGGGTCACACAGGCCTCCTTTTCTTTTCTTATTTATTAACTGGCACAGAATGAGAAGCAGTTTAGTGAACAGTTAGTGAATTAAACAAAGCTCAACAAGGGATATTCTAGCCCTTTCTTACTTTTGCCTCCCCTCCCCAAATCTTGCTTGCTCTTCAAGTTGTAACTCAGTTAAAATCCAGTTTTCCCAGAATCTTTTCACACCACTGTGGGCTGGAATAATCATTCCTTTCTCTAAAACCTTGTCTTCCCATTCCTCTGGCAGATAATCAATAGACATTGCTTTGTGGTTCTTTTCGTGTCTTAAGCTGTCATTGTAATAATGGTTAGCATTTATGTTTTCATGAATTTATATATCTTTACTTTATTTCAGGTTCCTTTTGGGCAGGGACCATTTAAAGATTCTTTGTATCTTTTACAGTGCTATGGGTATAATAGACATTTGATAGATGTTGGGTTTGTTTTATTTTTTTCCTTATAAAAGCCATTTAAACCCTACTTTCAGGCAGGTTATAAGAAATTTATAAAGTACAGTAAGTGACAAATGAATTTTAAGGAGCATAGTCTAAAATGTATTACAGTAGCAAATGTCTAGAAAAAAACCTAAGTGCCTAATGGCAGAGGATTAAATAAAGATGTGGTGTATATACACCATGGAACACTACTCACCTAGGGGAAGAAAAATGATGAAATCTTACCATTTGTAACAACATGGATGGAACTGGAGGAGGTTTTGCTGAGTGAAATAAGTCAGAAGGACAAAGCCACATACCAGATGATTTCACTCATATGGAATTTAAAGAAACAACAAAGGTCTAGACAAAACTAAACCAAATAAACCATAGAATTCTGACTGTAAAATTGAGACTGCCAGAGGTGGAGTGTGGGGTGAGGAGCAAAAAGGAAGAGGGGGGACCAGTGAATCACAGTAGAGGATTATGGATGTTTTGGTGATAGGTGTGGTGTGTAGCACCACACCTGAAGAGGTTAAACCTATATTTCTGAATCACATACAGTGTTGTATATGACTATTACCTCAATAAAAAAATACAATAAAATATTTGGTTGAAAGTCTAATGAGTTTATGTAAATCCCTTTATGCTTCTCTGACATACAGATTATATCTTTGTATATGACCATCAACACAGATTTCTAATTCTCACTTTAAGAAGTTACCTTTTAAATCAGGTAGAAGAAAAAAAAAGATCTCCAAACAAAAAATACATTTATACTGCCTTGTATTTATCTGTGTCATCTTACCCATGTTTTATTTCTTTGTATAGATTTGAGGTACTCTCCAGTGTCTTTTCATATCAGCCTAAGGGGGACGCCCTTCGGCGTTTCTTGTAGGACAGGACTCCTAACAATGACTTCTCTGTTTTTGTTTATCTGGGAATGTCTGATTTTTCCTTCTTTTTTGGAGGATACTTTTATAGGGTTTAGAAATTCTTGGTTGGCAGGTTTATTTTTTTTCTTTTGGCACATTCAATCTGTTATTCTGCTACCTTCTGTCCTCCATGGTTTCTTATAAGAAATTTGTTCTTAATCTTTTTGAGGCTTCTCTGTACACGATTAGTCACTTCTCTCTGCTTTCCAATTTCTCCTTTAGCCTGGCTTTTACCAGATTGGATATGATATATCTCTTTCAGTTTAACCTTGTTGGAGTTTTTGAACCCCCTGGATATGTGTATTTTTTCTTAACAAATTAACAAGTCGTTATTTTTTCAAATTCTTTTTTTCCTTTCCTCTCTTTGTCTGGGACTTTGTGCATATATTGGCACTCTTAATCGTGTCCCATAGATTTCTGTGACTCGATCCCTATTGTTTTTTCTTTTTGGTTTCTCAGATTGATTAATATCAATTGACCTATCTTTTAAGTTTGCTGATTCTTCCAACTGCTCAAATATGTTGTGCCCTATAATGAATTTTTTATTTCAGTTTATTGTACTTTATATAATCCCAGAATTTCTATTTGGTTCCTTCTTATAATTTGTCTCTCTGTTGATAATCTCCAGTTAGTGGGATACCACAGCCATACTTCCCTCTAGTTCTTTAGACATGGTGTTCTTTGAATATATTTGAAATAATTTAAAGTCTTTGTCTAGTAAGTACAATGTTTGGGCTTCCTCAGAAACCATTTCCATTAACTATCCTTTGTTCCTGGGTATGAACCAGACATTTTTTGCATGCCTCGTACTTTTTTGTTTAAAAACCAGACAGCCATTTACTCATTTCTCCCAGGATTTGTTGTGTTGCTGTTGTTTATTTAGCAACTGAATTAATTCCTAAACTAATTCTTTAAACTCTTTATTCTTGTTGTAAATGCTCACTGAAGGCTCTGCTTTTTTAGCTTAGTGGTCAGCTAGTGGTTAGACAGAGACTTAACTACCTAGAGCCAGTAAGTTCTCCCATTCTTTGCCAAGGGGCATTATATATGTTTGGGGGCTCACCTTCAATATTCAGCCAGGCATTTCACCACTGTGCAACAGCCTTCACTTCCTGCTTACACAGAGCTTCAAGGTTAGCCAGATGTAGGAGATTAGGGCCTTCTCAGGTCTTTCCTGAACATGTCTACAGCTTATGTGTGTGACCTAGATCTCAGGAATATACCCAAGTTTTTCAAAATCTTTCCATGGACATCTTAGTGCCTCACCTATTTCTTTTCAGCTTTTGGTTAGCCTAATCTTTGTCTCAGCTGTTACTCATAGCCTTAGGGAGCTGCCATGTTAAGTTAATTGCCTCTGATTATTTTTAGCAAGCTCTTCTGGAGGAAAGACCTGTTTACATGGGGTGTTCCTAGTAAGGTCAAATAATGACAATTCCCAGGGCATAGGGCTTTAGAAGAATCCCTCATGGGGATTCTTCAGTGGCTGCCAGACTCAATGATTTTTCACAGGATTATTTCACAATGATTGTTCTTTTTAATGCTGTTGTGAAGCTGGGAAGGGGAGAATAGGCATGAGTTCAGTTGAAATGCCACAAAGCTTGCTGTTCTTACTGAAATTCAGCTGTTTTTCTTTAATAAATGCTCCCTGATTTCTGAAACTTTTTGCTTAATTTCCAGAATTCTGAAAAAAAAAAAAAAAAAAAAAGATGATTCTATTCTAATCAGTGTGCTTGTTGCTTTTATAGAGGAAAAGATTTTTGGAAGTCTTTATTCTGATATTTTCACTGACGTCACCATGGTATAAAGGATTTAACCCATATCTGAATACAAGAAATTGAAAAAATATTTTTCTTAAGACACAGTGGGGCCTCCCTGGTGGTGCCGTGGTTGAGCGCTGGGTTGTGAAGCTGCCCGCAGCCTCTGCAGCACAAGTTTGATCCCCAGCCTCTGGGCGAGGGTCCCACATGGTGCGCAGACCTCTCCTGCCGTGCCCGCTGCTCCCCTCAGCAGTGTACTTGGTCAGTCTGCCTGTTCTGCTCCCCTCTCTGGCTCTGGTGAATTCTCTCACCCTCCCGTGCTTCTGACTGTACCCAGTGCTTATATAAATAAATAAATAAATCTTAAAAAAAAAAAAAGACACAGGCTATTTTTTTAATTTGCAATATTTTATTTACCTTACCATCTATTGCTTAGACATGCTATGTATTTTCATATTTTTAAATAATTTTTTTGTGGTAACATTATGTAAGTTTCAAGTGTGCAGCATTATATTCAATATGTAACATGTCACATCGTGATCATCACCAGCATCTAGTTCCCATCTATTACCAGGCAGTTGACCCTGTTTGGCCATTTCACCTGATCTCTTAGCCTCTTTCCCTTCTGGTAACCACCTGTCTGTTCTCTGTATCAAAATGCTTGTTTTTGTTTTGCTTATTCCTTTGTTTTATGTCTTTATGTCCCACATATACGTGAAATCACACCATGTTTTGGCCTACTCTACCTGACCTTGTTTAATTTTTTTCTTAAGTGTCTTTGTTTTCTTTCCCCTTCATCTAGTCAGCCTCACTCCTTGCTAGCAGGGGTAGCCTCTGTTACCATTTTGGTTTATGTTCCTTCAAACGATATTCTGTTGATTTCATTTCTAATATATACGTGTATGATTTGTACTCTGTAGGGTTTTATAAAATAAGTTAACAGTGAAATGTTTTTTGATTTGCAACTTTATATTAACTTTTGGGGAGACCTTCCTAATACAAGCTTAGAGATGTATGTAGGTTCCTTAACTATTCCATTGGTGACTTTTTAGTAAGTTTATAGCCAAGAAAACTAGAAACAGTGTGTCAACTAATCTCTTTATGTATGAATATTTCTCTAGGATAGCTGTGTAGAAGTAGGATTGCTTTATTGAGTTGTTGCTCAAAAAGCCTACACCAAGCTACATTCCAAACAGTGTTATTCATGAGTAACTCTTACCATACATATCCTCACCAATACTAGATATGATCATCCTATAAATTTTTGATAGTCTAGACAAAAATGTTATGTTAATTTTTTAATTGGCATTTAAATTACATCTTGTAGTACAGCATAAATGCCACCTCACTAAGTAACAGTTTTTTATTTCTCCTTTTGTTTTGTTTTTTTAGGGAATGGCATTTACATTACAGGAACGACAAATGCTTGGTCTTCAAGGACTTCTACCTCCCAAAATAGAGACACAAGATATTCAAGCCTTACGATTCCATAGAAATGTGAAAAAATTGAATGGCCCTTTGGAAAAGTAAGAGTTGACTAGATGTTTAGTTTTTAGTTTTTTTTTTTTTTTTTTAAGATTTATTTATTTATTTATATAAGCACTGGGTACAGTCAGAAGCGCGGGAGAATGAGAGAATTCACCAGAGCCAGAGCAAGGAACAGAACAGGCAAAAGGACAGAAGTACACTGCTGAGGGGAGCAGCGGGCGGCAGGAGAGGTCTTTGTGCCATGTGGGACCCTCGCCCGGTGACCGAGGATCGAACCTGTGCTGCAGAGGCTGCGGACAGCTTCGCAACCCAGCGCTCAACCGCTGCGCCACCGGGGAGGCCCTGGATGTTTAGTTTTTACTAGTGCTCCAATCAGAAAATTTGGGCACATTGTGATTATTATGGTATGAAAAAGATACAGTATCATAATGGAGTTTATGCTTTAGTTAGTTAATTAATTAATTAATTAATTTTTTTTTTTTAAGATTTATTTTGTTTTATTTATTTATTTATTTATTTATTTATTTATGCAAGCACTGGGTACAGTCAGAAGAGCGGGAGTGTGAGAGAATTCACCAGAGCCAGAGCGGGGAGCAGAGCAGGCAGAAGGACCAAAGTACACTGCTGAGGGGAGCAGCGGGCGGCAGGAGAGGTCTGCGCGCCATGTGGGACCCTCCTCCTGTGGCCGGGGAGCAGCCGGGGATCGAACCGGTGCTGCAGAGGCTGCGGGGAGCTTCGCAACCCAGCGCTCAACCGCTGCGCCACCGGGGAGGCCCAGTTAATTTATTTTTATGCTTATGCTTCCTTCACTTTAGTCAACACTTCACTTGGCTCACTATTAAAAACTTAGCAAAATTTGACTGTTTATGCTTAAAATTACAGAGCATTTCAGCTTTGAATTGAATGCTTGAAGCAAAGGCTGACAACTAATTTGCAGTCATTCTGTTGAGCAACTATTATTGATCATCTACTTTGTGTGTGCTAACTATATTAGCCACTGAAGATATAAAATTGGTAATGGATTTAATGTCTACCTATCTAATCTGGAACTGAAACTGTAACTGAAACTATGCCAGGCAAGCTAGAATGTATGGCCCCCCGTTAACACTGCCTTCTAGGAGCTCATCAACAGATAGTTATATATTATGACTGTCACTGTACCACTCTGTACCACCCAATGCAGAACAGCGAGGAAAAGGTATATGCAGAGCATATTCTGAAGGCATGAAGAGGGACACCTATCTCAACTTGGGGAATCAATTAAAACTTCTGGGAGGAGGTGCTGACTGAGCTAAATTTCAAACAGTATGTTGTAAGTAGCAGGCAAAATGAGAAAGAAGGGCAAGGGATGCTGGATAAAGAGATCAGTCTTAATACAGGATTAAAATTCCCTAAGGTTTGTTAGGTATAGGAGATTGTTATTAGGGATTGGTGACAGTAATATCTTTGATGGGGCAAAAGGGAGAATACAATAGATTGAGAAATAAATGGGAGGGGAGGAAATGTAAACACTGTAAGTTTAGGTAAGAGGTGAGAGAACAGTGAGTAAAGCAGAACAGGGGGGTAAGAGGGTGTATTTCAGGCTAGAAGGTGAAAACACTTATAGTTGTGAGGCATGAGCTTAGGACATGAGTAATTGATAGACCAAGATCCTAGAGAGGAAGAAAGTGTAGAGTCAAGTGCAGTGGTAGAAAAGCTGGACTTGAACAAGAGAAAAGAACAGCTTACTTTCTCAGCTAATATTCTTAGGCCTAAATTATGTAGGTTATGGAGCAGAGATGGAAAGACCTCATCATACCTGCTGTGATGTAGAATATGAATACTATGGCTAAGATTCACAAGGGTCAGGTTTGAATAGAATTGGTGAAGAGAGTGATATGTTTGAAAAAGCCACTTAACCAGGAGGTGAAACTGAGCAGGACCTGTTAAAGGGATGAGAGTAAGCCCTAAAGGCCTAGTGTCCTGTCATGCTGTATTAAGGCCATCTCTGCCCAACCATGTTACTTTTCAACAGAAAAGGTGAAATGTAACATTGATTCAACTTTGAAATTGGCTGGAGTTACAAAGATGCTACATTAAGTCCTTCAGTTAGTAAGCATTCAGGGCCTTCTGTGTCAGGCAGTATTCAAATCTCTGGAACTGCAAAAGTGAACAAGTCCAGCCCTTGCTACAGTTCACAGGTGGAAAAGGCAGACTGGGGAAGGGTAGTGCAGTGGTGAAGATATTAGGAGGGTTCTTAAATGGTAACAATGAGAAGTTTATTCAGAGCCAGAGACTTGATCCTGGGATCCAGAGTAGAGAAAAAAAGAGGAGCCAGAAGGGAGCCAACAAAGTGGAAGAAAATGAAGCCATCAAGGAGTGAAAGATCCCTCTAGACCTATCAAGCAAGGGCACTATGGAGCTCACCAAAGAGTGGTGGGTTGTGATCAGAGCATGACATGAACGTGAAAGTGCTATCACGGAGCCCAGGGATTTGCACAACTTCCTGCTGTCACAGGCCTGATGGTTTGTCTGTTCTTCTCTAAACATTGCTGCTTGTTTCACAAAGCTGTTCTGCCTTATAGCCCAGTTGTTAGTTTTCTTCCCAATATTAAGAAGAAATCACCCTCCATTCATTTATTTATTTATTTATTTGTTTATTTGAGATTTATTTATTTATTTATACAAGCACTGTGTACAGTCAGAAGCACAGGAGGGTGAGAGAATTCACTAGAGCCAGAGCGGGGAACAGAACAGGCAGACAGACGAAATACACTGCTGAGGGGAGCAGCGGGCGGCAGGAGAGGTCTGCGCGCCATGTGGGACCATCCTCCGGTGGCCTGGGAGCAGCCAGGGATTGAACCAGCGCTGCAGAGGCTGCGGGCAGCTTTGTAGCCCAGCGCTCAACCACTGCGCCACCAGGGGAGTCCTTTTATTTATTTATTAAAGATTTACTTATTCATACAAGAAGTTGGGTGCAGGCCCGAGGCAAGGGAGGGTGAGAGAATTCACCAGAGACAGATCGGGGATCAGAACAGACAAACAGACCGAAATATACTGCTGAGGGGAGCTAGTGGGTGAGACAGGAGAGGTCTGCCATGCCATGTGGGTTTTTCCCTGGCCAGCCGGGAATCGAACCAGCGCTGCTAAAGCTGCGGACAGCACCACAGGGCTGTGCTCAACCCGCTGCACCACTGGGGAGGCCCAAAATCACCTTCCTCTTAATTTCTCCCTATTAATATTATTTTCTGGCCACAGTAGCTATATAAAAAATATTATTCCTCTTATGAATGAAATTATATTTATTCACAAAATATTTACATTCCAGCTAGAGTCCTTTTTTTTTTTTTTTTGCTAGTTCCTGGAAATATAGAAGTATATAAGGCCATAGTCCTTGCTTGTGATACCCTCTAGGCTGGAGGGGAGACAAAAAGTGAAGAAGTAGAGTGAGAGTGACAAAAGAGGGAGTAGGGTGTTATGGGATCTGGTAACAGGAAAATCTGATGTGTAGATGTATGTGTGGTAGGGGAGGGCAATAGTCAGAAATGGACCCCCAGAGAGTGGGTACCATCTGGGCTACATTCAGGGAGTGCATGAGTGTTAGACTGGCAGAATAGAGACTGTTCCAGGCAGAGGGTGCATCGTGGGCAGGGATGCCAAAGTAAGAGAATTCAAGTAAGTTCAGTATGAAAGAGATGAAACTAGAAAGTAGGCTGAGGTCTTATTAGCTATTTTAAGAACTTAACCTCATTTTACTGGGATTTGGAAACCATTTAAAGAGAATAGAAATGATCAGAGTTTAAGTTTTTAAATTAATTGAACAGTTTAGCAAAATTGTGTGTATAAAGGCTGGACAGTTCTTGAGGTAATCCATGTGAGCAATGGTGGTGGCTTGGACTGAGTGCAGGTAGAGGGAAGAACTATCAATATATGTTTGAAAGATATTTAGCAGGTATATTCTGAAGGACTTGGTGATTTTTATTTAATTTTTTTATTAGAATAGCCTTTATTCTTAGACCAATACAAGAAGTATAAAACAATCAACTATTTGTGAGCATTAAAGCAAAAAATCTAAATATTAATAACTAAATCCAACAATTAATTTCTAAAATGTCTTCAAGGACTTGGTGATTTCAGATTGGGGTTAGAAGTAGGTAGGAGAGGAAGAAATCGGAAACAGATCAGTGATTCCCATTTGGTCAGATGATGATAACAGGAAGAGAAACAAGCTTGGGGAAAGCTGAGTCAGTTTTAGACATTTAATTCAAGTGATTACTGGTTTTTCAAGCCAGCATTTCCCTGTTTTACAAACTTCATTCTTTAAAAGCCATTATGCATATATTTATTTGAATTGATCATTTGTGCCCTGGATAGTTCTTAGTCTACCTGCAAGCTTAAGGATAGATCCCTTGAGTTCATACCTTGAGTGACTGACTCATAGTAATTTGTAAGTACTTAATTTTATCTTACTTATTTAAATGTCTGTCTTCATGAACATCAGTTCCTTAAGAGTAGACCCTCGTGGGCCCTGGTACAGAGCCTGACTCACAGTAAGGGCTCAGCTAGTATTCTAGCTGTTGTTCTATTGTTCTTTTCATCTTCATCATCATCTATTATACAAGTAAATTTTAATTTTTTTTTGAGTTTTTAGTCCTGAGTGTTAAATAGTGATAATTTAAGGTCTTGTTTTTCTGGAGCGGGGAGTTCTCAACTGTAGATGGTTAGCTATAACTGTTCAAAGGCCAAAATTTCAGGTGTAATGCTGCCTGATATAGACATTATGTACTGTGCTTAATTCCAGGTACATCTATATAATGGGAGTACAAGAACGAAATGAGAAATTGTTTTATAGAATTCTACAAGATGATATCGAAAGTTTAATGCCCATTGTGTATACGCCAACAGTTGGGCTTGCTTGCTCCCAGTATGGCCACATCTTTAGAAGACCTAGGTAAGTCTTATTTTTAAAAATACATTTGTAAGTGATTATTATGTAAGAAAAATACCACACCATAGCATTGACTCCATTTCTTTTTATGTGTTGTCGTCTTAATCTCATTTCCCATCTCACAAAAGCCTAATTTGGACAAAAAGCAATCAATAAAAATGCAGTATGTTCATATCTTTTATTTTTGTAGAAATAGCATTATTCATTCCTTTATGTTATTATGACTAGTAGAGTTATGATGCATTTTTTACCACAAAAAAAAAAAAAAAAATAGGTGCTCTTAATTCTGGTGGCAGATTCTCCAGAATTATCGTTGACATTTTTGGCAGTCTGGCCAAGTTTAAGAGATTGATTCTCATTTTTGGTCAGGTTTGATTTTTGTTATTTATTCCTTTTTATGAACTTGCACAAATTTTAATTTACAATAGGTCTAACCCCTCCAAATATTTTAAGTGGAAAGAGTCCTGGAATGGGCATTGACTCAAGTCCTTGCATAAGTGACTTTATCCCTCTGAGTCTGTTTTATAATTGTAGAATTGGGGTGCCAGTCCCTCTCACAGTGTGCTGAGGTCAGATGAGGAAACTGATGTGATGGTTCTTTGTAAATTTATAACCATTTTATAAAGGCTGTTTTCACTTTTGCATTTTCTTATTCCTCTAATCTATTATCATTTTATTCAATCACTACATCTTTCTCATGCCCTGCTTACATATTTTCATAAATGTAGGAATTCGGATAATGTATGATAGCTTTTATCTTTACTCTCCCCTCAGAGTCCAGTGACTTTCAAACTTTCATGTGCATACAAAACACCTGTGGGACTTATTTAAAATATTAATCCCTGTCCTTCCCATTCCCAAGAATCTGATGAAAAAAAGACAGGTCTGGAGATCAAGATTTTAATGAACACTATTGGTGTTAGTGTTGCAGGTATTCCCTGGAAGATACTTCCAACACCGTTTTATCCTATGTGTAGCCGTCAATTAATGCATCTAAAACATTTCTGTGGGGCCTCCCTGGTGGCACAGGGGTTAAAGACACAGCACTATCAAGCTTTCAGTAGCCACTGCAACATGAGTTCAATCCCCAGCCAGCGAGAAACCCACATGGCACAGCAGACCTCTCCTGTCTCACCTGCTGCTCCCCTCAGCAGTGTATTTCAGTAGATCCCTCTGTTCTGCTCCCCACTCTGTCTCTGGTGAATTCTCTCACCCCCTGCACCTCTGGCCTACACCACAGTTCTTGTATGCATAAATAAATAAATCTTAAAAAAAAAACCTAAAAAAAAATAAAATATTTCTATGATATAACCCAGCTGTTCAGCTCTTCTGTAATTTCTCTTTCAATTAGAACTGTGGTTTTCAGTCTAAATTAAAGGACAGAGGGAAATAAAACATACTCATGTCTGGGTATATAGCCCATATTGATGCTGATTCACTTAGCCCAAAGCTGGACTCAGGTGCTGGTGTTTCATGGAAGCTCCCACTGTCGTTCTGATGTGCACCCCGATTTGAGAACTGCTGAAGAGCATGACTTTTGGGTGAGGGCACATACTGTGTATCATTTATGCAGTATGCTCTAGTAGCATTTTGTTTGCTTTGTTTTTTTGCATAGAAGACAGTCTTTAAATCTTGGGTGATTAATTGATCTAAACTATAGGTCTGTTAAATCAGAATCTCTGGGAATGGGACCGTGGCATTTTAAAAAAATTAGTCAGATGATTCTGTTAGGCACTGATTGTTGAGAAACTGTTTAAACTGATTTGAGCTAGGATGGTACTGCCAAAGTTTCGATACCAATGAGAAATTGAATGAATCTTGAAGCCATTGGGAACCTGTTGGCTCTTTCCCTGACCTATTTTCTAAAATCTATGATTGTCCCTTCCTCTTCCTCTCCTGCCTTCTTTCCTTTGAAATCTGGATCTATTATCTCAATTGGCTAGCAATACAATGTGTTCCAAATAACTTTTGTTTTTTTTCCTAATGCATCAAGGGTTTCCCTGCTCCTTCAGATTTCAAATTTTCAGTCTCACCGAATTTAAACAGCAGTTTACTTAACCTTATACTGTCCTGCATTAGTGGTTTACCTTTGTATCACTTTTTACTGAAGGTGTATTGAGTTTATTTGAACAGGAGATGTGGGTACATTTGTCTTAGGTAAAATGATCATATCATTTAGTAACCTTTGTTCAGCTACTATGTCACAAATGCACCTACTGTTTGAGGTACTTGAAATGTTTGAAAAATAAACCAGTATCACTTAGCTAAATCTGCTTGGAAATTATACTGTGTCGTGATGTTTTATTAAAATATCAAAATATTCCAATTGTGAAGAAAACTTAGAAAAAAAATTGTTGTGAAATGCAAAGGTGTTTTTGTTCTGTTGCAGGGGATTATTTATTTCAATCTCAGACAGAGGTCATGTTAGATCAATTGTGGATAACTGGCCAGAAAATCATGTTAAGGTACTAATAGCACAACCTTCCTTTTCACAATGTTTTTTCTTTCCTTGTAAGTTACCTCTTAACTACCAAGCGTAGTTTTTTATTATTATTATTATTGTTACTCTGATTAATTTTGCACATACAGATTTAATGCTTTGAGGAGATCACGGGAGTAATTACAAAATGGGTTTACTGGTACAAAGTTTGACTCTGGGGAAGAAATTGGAGCAAGTACAGAAGGTGAACCTGCTTACTGTCCACTACCTCTCAGAGGTGTCTCCTGACTTCTGTGTTATTCCTTTTCTACTTCAGTTAATGTTATTCTAGGCAGAAAAAATACATTAAGATGCCATAACAACTTTTATTCTGGTGGGAAGTAGAGAGGATTCGTTATGCCTTTTTTCTTATGAATATGAGCTAGATTAGATCCTTAAGCAAACTTAGCAGATAAAAACCTTGGTAATCTGGCTGTCTTTCATAAAATTACATGTAATGACTTACTTAAAATCTTCTGATAGGGTTTAGTGTTTATTATAGGCAGTAATCTCACTCGCCTTTATTATGTATGTCTTCTTCACCAAAATAATCTTTGATGACTACTCATTTAGTTACAATAAACTGAAAAAAATTGATGAAATAATTAAGCTCTCAGTGTCATCTTAAAACCTGGTAGGTAGGTATATTTTTTTATACTAGATCTTTTTTTCTTTCACCATTGCTAAGGGTTTTCTTGTTTCCCTTAGGTTATCATGTTGGATTAGCATGTTCTTTATTCCTAAACTCTTGTTTTTCTTGTGGTAATCTCATAAACAGAAGTTCATTCACCTCTCCCCTGTTTAGTCTTTCTGAGGATATTTAAGTTGATCCTGTAGTCAGAAGCATTTTATCCTAAACACCAAAGACATCAGGAAATAAAATCTAGTTAATTCTCTTTTTTTAAACATTCTAGATTCTAGAAAGAATTTTAAGAGTGCTTGTTTGGTTTACTTTGGAAATTAGTCAAGAAGTAATTTTATTTTTTAAAGTGAGAGTGAAAATACATGAAGAAAATCCTTTCTAAAAATGTTTTCTTCTCTGGTGTTCCATTTTTGACAACTTCTAATTTATATATTTTTTTTGTGATTAAGGCTGTTGTGGTGACTGATGGAGAGAGAATTCTGGGTCTTGGAGATCTGGGTGTCTATGGAATGGGAATTCCAGTAGGAAAACTTTGTTTGTACACAGCTTGTGCAGGAATACGACCTGATAGATGCCTGCCTGTTTGTATTGATGTAGGAACTGATAATCCAGTGAGTAAAATTGTTTTCCCCCTTTTATCCTCTCCCATATTGAAACACACACACACACATTTTTATTAATCCACTTTTGAAGATAATATGAGGGAAAAATTTATTATGTTGTCTTTGTCTTAAACTCCAAACTCCAATTTTAATATTTATACAAATAATAGTAAATTAAGCCTACTACAAGTTTCTTGATAAGTACAGTGAGCTTAAAATTCTCTTAATAATTTTTTAATTTTTCCTTTTTTGTTTCATAGTTATGTTTAAACTGGTTATATAAAAATACTTAATTTTTTACATTTGCTCTATTTTATAGGCACTCTTGAAAGATCCATTTTACATGGGCTTATATCAGAAAAGAGATCGCTCACAACGTTATGATGATCTAATTGATGAGTTTATGAAAGCCATTACTGACAGGTATTTAACAAAAATTTGAGACCATGAAGGCATCTTTAAAATAAAAGAGGAGCCACCATTGTGTTTTGTTTTCCTTTATCTCATGTGAAGATAGGTAGGGGGAGATGAAATATTTGAAAATGTGGGTTCTTTCCTGCTTGATTGGATATACTTACCCATGGTGATCCCCTGCATACTGTACCTTGCTTTCCTGAGTTACCTGGTATCTCAAGGGGAGTTAGCACCCATCACTCCTGTCTGGCACTCACTGTCCAGTTTTTTTCAGCCATTGACATTCAGGCTTACTCCCACCATTCCAGTCAAAGTCTTGTGCAACTTTCATGTTTTCTCTTGACTTTTGGTCTTTGTCCCTTTTTCTTATTTTTTTGCCATTTTCAGTGATTCTTGTTACCCTTTTATATTAAATGGGGATGAGTATATAGTTCTCTTTTGAGTCATGTAAGCTTTGACCTTTATACATGTGCTCCTAAGTCCATGAAAACCCAGTTACATGGTTCCAGCTGTCTCTGAGGTTTACATTTCTAGTAACTGGAATCTTCTATCTAAACATTCCATTGCTACTTCATATTCATGTCCAAGACAACTCCTTTTCTTCCCAAACAGCCTGTGTTCAATATATCCAACCTCTAATGATGGCAGTAACATTCAGCCTGTTGCCAAGCCTTTCATCTTGCTCCTAACTTTGACACTCTGCCCCTGTGCAGTCACTCCTTAAATCAAGTTGCTACTATCACTTAATTACCTCAGAAATATATCTCCTTTTTTCCATTGTCACAACCTTTCTACAGATGCTCATCTCTCTTCTGGATCCTTCTAAACCTTCTTCCAATTTCTCTTCCTTCTAGTTCATCTCCACCTTACTACTAGATTAATTTTTTAAAAATATGCACTTCATTGTGTCATTCTTTTGCTTCACATCTTTCAGTGTTTTCCTATTGCCATAACATAAAGTTCAAACTACCTTTATCATCTAGGTCTGTCCTCCCTTTTAAATTACTGATGACATAGAAGATACTAAAAATTTGTTCCTTTTCAGAATCAATGTTTATGTAAAACAGGACCTTTCATCTTTCCAGAAATTGCCATCTCCCCACCTTCTCTTCACTTCCCTGCCGTGGACAGTCAAATAGTTACCTTAGTTATCTAGGTTGCCTTGGCATTTATTTTAACACCTTTTTCTTCTTTCCCATTTTTCCTTGTTATCAAGGTCTGTTTGTTCATTCTCATGTCTCTTAATTGTTCCTTTCACTTCCTGTGGCTTTTACTTCAGATCTTTTTGTCCTCATATCATAGTAGCCTCCAAACTCCCTATCTTTCTCATCTCTCCCCACATCAGCATGTGCTACACATCACTGGCCTGCTTATCCTCCCTAAAGGGAGTTTTATGTGAATTCTTCCTTCTCTGAAGCTTTCTACATCAGATGCAAAATAGAGTCTCCATCCCTTGGTTTGAATTAATTCCCTATTCTTCCTTACTGAATCCAGTGTACCTTAACCAATATCTCCCTTGTCCTTTCTTATAAACCCTAAAATATATAGACATACTATTGAAAATGCAGGTTCAACAAAATAATGTCTTGCTTTTCTTTGACTACCTCATTATTTTTTGTTCCCTTTTTGGGCCCGATAAAGCCCCACCTCCTTTTTAAGCCTTCCCTTTTATCCCAGCTCACTTTTCTGACTGCTAATGAACTCATTTTATTTTTTACTCTCTTATTTAATATATACTTTCTTGTGTGGCTGCCTTAGCTGCTAATGTAATGAGAATATCCACATCTAATATATACTTTTTGATATCCATAGACTAATCCTCTACCTTCAAGGAAGTTGTTTAGTGCTTTTATGTATTGGGCACCCTCATGGGTACTTGGAAATAGTTTATAGAGATTGATAGTCTGTCAGCCTATCATAGTACTGCATACATTTTAAATACCCCATAAATTTTTTTGAGTAGTAATAGATATCTACATTTTGAGTCCAATCTTTTAGTCTCTGAAATTGCCAGATAGCTTTAAATGAACTAATAGATACGGTAAAGGCTATCAGGAATGTCAGGAAAACTGTTTAATAGCAGTATTTTCAATGTAATCATTATGGGTTTTACTATTTTTAGATATGGACAGAACACCCTTATTCAGTTTGAAGATTTTGGAAATCATAATGCATTCAGGTTCTTAAGAAAATATCGAGAAAAATATTGTACCTTCAATGATGATATTCAAGGTAAAGTAATGAGAAAACTTTAGGTTTTTTTATTATTACTTTGTAAGCATTTTTAATGAGCCTATTTTTTATTTTTAAAAATATTTTTCTTATAGGGACAGCTGCAGTAGCTCTAGCAGGACTTCTTGCAGCACAAAAGGTTATTGGTAAACCGATATCAGAACATAAAATCTTATTTCTTGGAGCAGGAGAGGTAAGTTTTTGTAAGCTTTATAGAATTTAAAATCAACACTCCTTTAGATTTGAAAAATGTGGTAGAATGTTGATATAGTAAAGAACATGACTTATGAATTTATTAAGATAGAGGATATGAATTCAAAGTCTCTCTTATAAAGTAAGTATTTAAAAATGTTTAGGGAGAAAAACACAAAGAATCAAGTTTTATAGGATTTTTTTTTCAAGGAAGAATAAACCAAATATTCCTCATAACATAATCATCTATATAAAGTAAATCATACATTGTATCATACAGTTGTCTTCATTTTTAAAATACATTTTGTTGAACAGGCTGCTCTTGGAATTGCAAATCTTATAGTTATGGCAATGGTAGAAAATGGTGTGTCAGAAGAAGAAGCACAAAAGAAAATTTGGATGGTTGACAAGTTTGGTTTATTATTTAAGGTAAGATATTTTAAACTGGTGGAAGCAAAAGAATATTAGGAGATTTTTTTGTTTAATTTAAAAAATATTGTCAGTTGATCTGTCTTCTAATCAGCTGACTTCTCAGATTTTACAGTTGGGGACAAAATCGTCAGTCTCTAACTTGTAATACTCAAACATAATCTCTTTGTTGGCACCAGCATCATTCTTTCTAGCTTTGTTTTCTGACTCTTAAGAGATCAAGTAACTATGCAAATAAGTCATACTCAACCCTACTAAAACAGGTTTTTAATTAAATATATATATTTAATTAATTTGGAGCTGCTTTCTGTGATGTTGGTTTCAAATATAGTTGGTGATTCTTCATCAGATTAGTAGCAACACAGGCCTAGAATGAACATTGTATTGGTCAGCATAATCCCTATCCATCTGCAAGTTTAGAATAGTAGATAAAGTTTAAGTTCCTAGTTCCATTTTTTCCTGATGACGCAAAGCACAGCCTTCCTTTTTGAGAGTTGGAGAGTTTCCCACCAAACCCCCATATTGGAGAGCTGTCATCCTCCTGAGGCAAGCATAAGAAGCCTCTGTCCTGAGAAACTGCTATCATTGAGGCTGTGTGTTTAAATCCTTCTGTTAACTTCCCTGTCAACTGATGCAGGTATACTGCTTGTTCTCAGCCTCTGCTAGTTCTTTTGGAGTCGATTCCGGAGTTTTAATGGAAAAAGTCACCTTTGCAGGGTATTCTTTTGCTGAAATAAGGATATAGATTTCTCAGCCTGGTTGAGTTTTGTATGCATTATTTTTTGCCTGCTTTCCATTGTTGAAAGCTGCCTTTGTGACAATACTAAGGATTTATTTTATAGCTTCAATTTGGGATTAGGGGAGGAAAATGTTTCTTGTTTAACCATCTTAAAAACAGATGTCCCAGGCCTCCCTGGTGGTGCAGCGGTTGATCGCTGGGTTGTGAAGCTGCCCGCAGCCTCTGCAGCGCCGATTTGATCCCCGGCTGCTCTCTGGCCACCAGAGGAGGGTCCCACATGGCGCGCAGACTTCTCCTGCCGCCCGCTGCTCCCCTCAGCAGTGTACTTCGGTCCTTCTGCCTGCTGTGCTCCCTGCTCTGGCTCTGGTGAATTCTCTCACCCTCCCGCGCTTCTGACTATACCCAGTGCTTGTATAAATAAATAAATAAATAAATAAATCTTTTTAAAAAAAAAAAAGCATACACTTCCTTCCATATCTGTTTGAATTTGCCAGGGAATTATTTAAAAAAACAAAAAACAAACAAACAAAAAAACCCCAGATGTCCCTGTTCCTCTTATTTCTGAACTCCTTATAGTACCAGTTCATGGTGTCTATCTGTAGTTCTGAAATCCTAAAAGCACTGAAATCCTGGTTTGGTTTTGTTTTCCTGAAATTCATTTGATAACAGACCTGATTAATCTTAATTTATCTGGTTGCAAAATCAGGTGTTTGTAGTCTCAAATTGGTACTTAAGTTTTAACAAGTAACTTTTGAACTTGGTGTAATTGTAAGTTTTGCTCAGTTGTGGGGTATTTATTGGGAGGTTATTTGTTATGTTTGTTATATTACTACTGTACATTTTTAAAACATGAAAAAAAATCTGAATTTCAAAATACATTTAACCCCCAGATGAGAGAATATAGACCTTTGTGCCATATTGGATTTAGGAGCATTTCACAGAGTAAATGAGTTCTTGAGCAGCATTATAAAGTGTCTGTTTTTGATTGGGATTTCAATTATGTTTTATGTATGGGTTTATGGATACTGTGAAAATAGAATTAGGACATATGAGTTGAAGAAAAAAGTAAATTAAAATGAAAAGACAGTCTCATCACAGAAACAGTATGTAATTCATAATGATATCTTTTCAATTAATCCTAAATAAGCATTTACTTAAAAATACTGTATTTACCTAAAAATTCAGGGGCGGAAGGCTAAAATTGACAATCATCAGGAAGCATTTGCTCACCCAGCCCCAGAGAACATACCTGATACTTTTGAAGATGCAGTAAATACACTTAAGCCCTCAGTTATAATTGGTAAGTGAAATTGTTGGCAAATCTTTCTGTTATTTCACCATATGATTCCAGTCATATCTACCATGTAGGATTAAAAAAAGTGAAATGACAGTTTTTAACTGTCTTTCAACATTATAGGATGTTTTATGTGATAACTTTTTGGTTTTAATATACAGAGTTCAGTTAATGCTTGTTGCCATGTTCCAACAGGGCATTAAGTTCACAACAGAAAATGAAACCGTCTTTAAAAGCAGTCATTTCCTATATAGCTGTAAGAGTCAAGTTCACAGTTATTCATGCAATTTTACCAGTTTCATGTAGGAGCCCTTTTTAATGTTAAATAGTAATAAACAGTAAGTTTTTTTCACTGATTGCAGTTCATGATTTTTTAGAGCTGGAAGAACTCTACAGATCATCTAGTCCATTTCTCCTAAAACTCAATATGGAAACCTAAGAATCTGTTCATTGATTCCATCCCTGGAGGGCCAAGGAAACAAAAAGAAAAACTTAAAATTCTTTTAGAACTAACAGAATCCTAAGAATTTGTCCATGTATCTCCACATGGAGAACACTGAGTATAGATTACTTAAATTCCTTTCCACTTAAGAAAAGCAAACAGGTATGTTAGCAACTTGTCCAAGACTTGTGAATATTTCATATAGCCAGGAATGACAGAGCAAGTACTAAACTCTGGTTCCATGTCAGTATTTTTGTTCATTACATTATCAGTTTGTAAAACAAAATTTATAAGTAGTTACTTTGACTATTGAATATAAGTCTTACTGGATGAAGTGAGTACTGAGCTGAGGCATCACTTGGCCACCCCCAAATTCTTAGGATCACTTAAGTATTCTTCCTTTATCTGTGCTTTCATAGCACTACATACTTATCACTTGTTACAGGTTTTCTGATTTTCTGTTTACTTTGTTTCTCTCTCAATTGTAAACTGTTTGCATAATACTCAATTTTTACATTCTGAAGACCTAGTGCAGTGTCAGAGACATTGGAGGAGCTTAAAAAACAATCATTAAACTGAACTGTATCAAGAAAGTAGATTGCTTTAGTCAAGGTGATTTTTTTATTCCTTCTGAATTCTTATTTTATAACCAGTAGCTCAGAGTTTAAAAGTATCACATTTGAGACACAAGTTTTTATTATTGTTAGTTGTAAAATATACATAACATGGAACTTGGCATCATAACCATTTTTAAGCATACAGTTAGGTAGTACTAGGTGCATTCATGTTGTTGCACAATTTCCAGAACCCTTTGCATCTTACAAGACTAAACCTTTGTTTAGTATAGCAACTCCCAACCTCTGGCAATCACCATTCTTCTTGGTGTCTCTCTGTCTACTCTAGAGACTTCATATAAGTGGAATCATATAGTATTTGTGTCTTCGTTGTCTGACTTATCTCACTTATTATTATGTCCTCATGGTTCATCCACATTGTAGCAAGTTTTTTTTTTTTAATTAGACAATGATGGATGATAATGTTATACTTCTTCAGTAATTTTCCCACAATTTGCTACATATGAGGCAGACAATAACTGGTTAAGTAAAAAGTTGTGTTTTTGTTCTTTCATATTTGAGATTGTATTCCCATAGTGTTGTCTCAGTAATGCAAAATTGTTGTATTTGTTATCTATGTGTGCTTTTGTTACATTAAACCTCTTGTAGAAATGCTGGTGGCATGAACTACTTTATTTTGCCTGTAATAAAGTTGATTTTTTCCCTCTTATTTATAGGAGTTGCAGGAGCTGGGCCACTTTTCACCTCTGGTGTACTTAAAGCTATGGCTGATATCAATGAAAGGCCTATAATATTTGCATTAAGTAATCCTACAGCGAAGGCTGAATGCACAGCTGAGGAAGCATATACACTTACAGAGGTATTAATAATAATTGTATGAATTATTTACTCTCTATAAGCTTATTATTTATACATACTTGCGTAATTCTTTTTGTGGTTACTATAGAAATTACAAGGTTCATCATGGGTCGTCATATTCTGATATAAATTATTGCTTATATCATTTCTGGAAAACAATCACTTTATAACTCCATCTTAACACCTTTAATGCTTTTTGTGCTATTGCTGTGCATTTTAATTCTCTAAATATTTTTTTAATTTAATTTTTTTTATTAATTTTTTTACATCATTGTTCATTTTTTAACACTATTTGCTTCCCCCCACCCCCTCTGGTGTAGTCCCCATAGAGTTTCCTTCACCAATGCACCCGTGCACCATCACCTCGGTCCCCTCTGCTCCTCCCTCCCCCCCCCCATCCCTCTCCCTTTTACCCTGCAGGATGTCTCTGATTTATAATTGTCTGTTTTTGCTTTGTTGTGTTTTGCACTGTTATTATTTATTACACTGATGTCTTACTGGGTTCCCCTATATTCCTGCTATAAGTGAAACCATCCGATATTTTTCTTTTTCCTTCTGGCTTCTTTCACTGAACATAATTCTTTCTAGCTCCATCCACATTGCTGCGAATGACATGAGTTTATCTTTTTTTGATTGCTGAATAATATTCCATTGTGTATATATACCACATCTTGATCCAGTCATCTATTTTTGGGCATTTGGGTTGTTTCCAGGTTTTACCTATTGTAAATAGTACTGCAGTAAACATAGGGGTACAGGTGGTCTTTTGAATCAATGTTTTTGTGTCCTTTGGGTAGATCCCTGAGAGTGAAATTGCCAGGTCATTAACTCCATTTTTAGTAGACTGAGGACCCTCCAGAGAGCTTTCCACAGTGGTGGACCAGTTTGCACTCCCACCAGCAATGTAAGAGACTTCTTTTTTCACCACATCCTTGCCAACATTTGTTGTTGCTGGTTTTTTTGATATGTGTTATTTTTACTGGTGTAAAATGTTATCTCAATGAGGTTTTGATTTGCATTTCTCTGATTATAAGGGATGTTGAACGTTTTTTCTTAGGCCTGTTGGCCATTTACATTTCCTCTTTGGAGAAATGTCTTTAAGTTCTTTGGCCCATTTCCTGGCTGGATTGTTTATTTTGTTTTTGTTGAGTTGTGTGAGTTCTTTGTATATCTTTGTGATCAGTCCCTTATCAGTTGAATCGTGGAGTGCAAAGATTTTTTTCCCAATCAGTGGGGTGTCTCTCTGTTTTGGTTTATGTCTCTTTTACTGTACAGAAACTTTTCAGTTTGATGTAATCCCAGGTGTTTATCTTTTTCTTGACTATCTTTGTTTTGGGTGATGAGTCTTTAAAGATGTTATTGCGATGTATGTCTTGTGTTTTATCTGTATTTTCTTCTATACATTTTATGGTTCCGTCTTATGTCTGGTTCCCTTATCCATTTTGAGTTGATTTTTGAGCATGGTGAGAGGTAGTGGTCTAGTTTCATTTTTTTGCATGTGGTGGTCCAGTTTTCCCAGCTCCATTTATTGAACAAACTGTCTGTGTTCTATTGCATATTCTTTGCTCCTTTGTCAAAGATCAGTTGTCCATATAAGTGTGGTTTTATTTCTGGGCTCTCTGTTCAGTTCCATTGGTCTGCATGTCTGTTTATGTTCCAATACCAAACTGGTTTAATTATTATGGCTTTGTAGTATAGCTTGAAGTTTGGAAATGTGATACCACCTTTCTCCTTGGTTTTCATCAGCAGGGCTTTGGCTATTCGTGGTTTTTTGGGGTTCCATATGAATTTCATCAGTATTTGTTCTATTTCTTTGAAGAATGTCATTGAGGTTTATATTGGAATAGAGTTGAATCTGTATATTGCTTTTGGTAGGATGGACATTTTAATAATGTTAATTCTTCCAATCCATGAACAGGGGATGTCTTTCCATTTCTTTGTGTCTTCTTCTATTTCTTTTAACAGTGTTTTATAGTTTTCTTTGTATAGGTCTTTCACCTCTTTTGTTAGGTTTATTCCCAAGTGTTTGATTTTTTTTGTTTCAATTATAAAAGGGATGGTTTTCTCGATTTCTTCTTCTTCAGATTGATTGTGCATAGGAAGGCTACTGATTTTTGTGTGTTGATTTTGTGTCCTGCTACTTTACTGAGCTGGTTGATTATTTCAAGTAGTTTTTCTGTGGAGTTTTTGGGGTTCTCTTTGTATATTATCATATCATCTGCAAATAGTTTTACTTCTTCTTTCCCTATCTGGATTCCTTGTATGTCTTTCTCTTGTCTTATTGCCCTGGCTAGGACCTCCAGTATTATATTGAAGAGCAGTGGTGAGAGAGGACATCCTTGTCTTGTTCCTGATCTTAAAGGAAAGGCCTTCAGCTTTTTACCCTTGAAAATAATATTGGCAGTGGGTTTGTCATATATGGCTTTTATCATGTTAGGTATGTTCCTTCTATCCCGAGAATTTCAAGGGCCTTCATCATAAATGGATGTTGGACTTTGTCGAATGCTTTCTTAGCATCTATTGATATGATCATATGGTTTTTATTTTTCTTTTTGTTGATGTGTTGGATAACACTGATTGATTTTCGTATGTTGAACCATCCTTGTGCCCCTGGGATGAATCCCACTTGTTCGTGGTATATTATCCCTTTGATGCATTGTTGAATTCTGTTGGCAAAGATTTTGTTGAGGAGTTTTGCATCAGTGTTCATTAGGGAGATTGGCCTGTAATTTTCTTTTTTTGTTCAGTCTTTGTTTGTTTTTGATATTAGTGTAATGTTGGCTTTGTAGAACATGTTTGGTAGTATTCCTTTTTCAATTTTTTGAAAGAGTTTGTGTAGGATAGGCACTAATACATTGCTGAATGTTTGGTGGAATTCATTTGTGAAGCCATCTGGACCTGGGCTTTTGTTTTTGGGGAGTGCTTTGATTACTGCCTCAATTTCGCTGCTTGTAATTGGTCTGTTTAGTTCTCTTTCTTCTTTGTCCAGCTTTGGATGATTAATTCTCTAAATATTTTAAACCCCTGAAGATATTACTGTTGTTTTAAAGAAAAAGTTATTCATTTAGATTTACCTACATTTTAATATTTTCTGTTGCCATTTGGTCCTTTATGCATGTCTATGCTTCTATCTAGGATCATTTTTCTTATAGAAAAGTTGTTTTTTATGTATGGGTCTGATGGATGATTTCGATAATTTCTTATCTTGACTTCATTTGGAAGGAGGTGTTCACTGTTCATAAAAGTGAAACTTGAGACTTTATCTTACCACTTTGAAGATATCATTGTATTGCTTTATGATTTCTGTTTTCTGTTTGATACATCATTGTGTCTTGGGTTTTAAGCTGTTTTACTACAATGAACCAGGTGTGATTTTCTTTGAATTTATTCTACCTGGACTGTTGATGTTCCTTTTTTTGTCTGTTTAGGTCTCATTTTCTCTTCCTCTTTTGTGAGACTCCAGTTACATGAATGTCAGATTTTTAACCATATCTTATATATATCATATACTGTTTTTATATGTATGTATATATATATCTGTATACATACACATACACACCATTCCATTTGTTCTGTATTTCAACCAGTGATTTTCTTTGGATTTACCTTCCAGTTTGCATATCCTCTTTTTAGATGTGCTAATCAGTTGTTGAGGATCTAAATTTATTTTTGTGTAGACTTTTTGTTTCATTCCTTTTGTTATATTTATTTAGTGCTTAATTTAAAATCAGTATTATAGAAATAATTTATTTGTAAATACTGTTTTCTTGCTCTCACATTTCATGAAACAGTTTTTACCCTCTTCATATGTTTCTTCACCATCAATGTTTGTCTTAATGAGAGTAATTTTTTGTCTAAAACAAATTTTTATGTTTTCTTCCAAATTGTTTAAGATTTAGCTCTTTTGAATTCTCTGACATTGCTACTGGGTTATTGCTATTACAGCTGTTAATCAGGATGCTATCCATGGGAGGTCTAATCTGTTTCCATAGTTTACCCTTTCTCCTCATGTGCACCCCACTGGGTATGAATCACAAGCCCTGGGGAATCTATCAGCTCCTCTTATCTTAGTGGTCTCTGAACTATCATTTTTCTCTCTGTGTCATCATGAGATTCCTGACAGCTTTGCTGTGAACAGACTCTCAGCCACAAAGTTTGTTTTTGAAATTGGCAGTCACCTTTGTGGAGAAAGCTTCAAGTGCTGGCATGCTTTCTTTTTTTTTGAATCTTGAATATCTCCTACTTTCAAAGTCCACTATCTTGGTAGCCCTCCTGTTTCCTTAAAAAGTACCTTCAATATTTTCCATTGAGTTTTTCTTTTTTTATTGTTACCTGAGGGGGATTTAATATGAAACAGTCTAGAAGACTAGATTCTGAGTGAGCAGAACTCTCTTAGGACTTTACCAATTTAGTACCTGTGCTCTAGATATATTTAGCATTCTTTAGTCTCATTGTTAAAACTTTTATTTTGGCACATATTCTCTCAATTTCTTTTGCTTCTATATCTCCACTTTGTTAGTCAAAATTAATTTTGTTCCAACAGTTTTAATAACTACTGAAAATATATTCAGTGTGTCTTGGGCACACTGGAAATTTTGTATTTCCAAAATACAAAAATAATAAATGTTTTGGGCAATGGTGGTATATCACTACATGACTGCTCACACTAGTTTGATACAGTATATTTCATTAGTTTTAAGATGCTAATTTTTTTAATTTGCATGCCTTTAAATTGTATTATCTCTGAAGAAAGATAATAAAACATTGTCTATAGTTAGATTTTACATAAATTCTTTCTCAGTGTTGCATAAAATAATGGCATGTTTGTATATTTTCAATTACCTCTTAAATTTTAAATCTTTAGTTTTTAGTGGAGAGATGCCTTGGTGTTACTCTAATACTCTGTTGGTTAGTGAGTCACAGAGAAAAAGTACCTTTGTTTTCATGTTTAATGTTTAGGTGCTCAATGAATAAAGATTGCATTTGAGAATGAGAATATAGTTATTGAAATCTGGCCACATTCAAGTTATAAGTTGATTATGGGGGGCTGGTTGATGAGGGTGAAGATTGCTTGGAAAATATGAACTGCTCTAGAATCTTGCTGTTCTAGAGAATTCCCAAATAACTCTCCTTATTTACTGATACCATGAGGACATAACAGAGTTCCCACAAAGAGCTCTGTTGGATAATCTGCTATTAAAGTTAATGTTGGTACAAAAATCTATTAAAATATGTATCCTAGTATTTATTTAAAAAATGTAAAATTTTTTAAAGGATATAGAAGTGTCTTGTTTTTTCAAAATTTACTAGTGAACATTTCCCTACTTTACTTGAATGTATGCTATGCTTAAAACAGACCTCAAATAAGAGTTTTAATACAAGGATTAGTATTTCATGCCTGTTTGCAATATTATACTGGTTACTTTTACTACGGCATTTAATTTTGAATTCACGTCAATTTTCTAGTCCTCGTAACAAGATTGAGGTTATTTAATCTTTTAACAGGGAAGGTGTTTATTTGCCAGTGGCAGTCCATTTGGGCCAGTGAAACTCAGTGATGGGCAACTCTTCACACCAGGGCAAGGAAACAATGTATATATTTTCCCAGGTAAATGACACCATTATTTATGTTATAGAGTAAAAATCATTTACTTAAAAATAATTTCATAATATTATTTAGCATTTAAGATAAAAATGAGCAGCAGTGTTTAGGTAATGAATGTACAGTAAAACTCAAACAATTCAGCAAACCCAGCATGCTCTGTTTTCCATGAAAATTTATTTGTCCATTTGTTACTTAAACTTACTTTTGTTATAGGAGTAATGTATTGTGTTACTCATAAAAATGCAAAGGCAATAGAATGATATAAAATTATTTAACCTCTTTAGCTCCTCTTGCTATCTCTGTATCTATTATTAAGTAGTCACTCTCAGTTGTCTGCTTTGAAATTTTTGTGGTGGTTATGACTGACATTTTATGTTTTTTTTTTTTTTAATTTAAGCATGACCATAATACTGCTATCACACCAAAAGGGACTGGTGGTAATAATTGCATAATGTCACATTGCATCAGTTCTTTCAGTTCAGCAATTTTTGTCATGTCCAATACCTTTTCATGATCCTAGAATCACTGTTTTTAATAGCAGCTTTTTAAAAAAAGTGTTGCAGTTCTTTCACATTTCTCCTGAGAGTTACCAAGATTCCTTTAAATATTGCTTCCTTTGTACTGTTCATTTTCCATAAATGTCTATTGATCCTTAATTGTTCATTCATTTTAAGGAGAGACTGTTGAGTAAAGTAGAGATTTGGCATGAGTTCCTTTGTACTTTGCAATTCTCTTCATGGGCTCGCCCTGAGTAACTGGCAGCTAGCTCTAGTTAGGATAATAAAGAGAAGGTAGTGCAGGTAGGCTAGCATCAGGCACGTATGTTGTAACTGCTGTCAGAGCAAAACTGATAGACCCATGAATATCCCCGTGCTTTATGGACTTTCCTTCATTTTCCCCCTGTGGTTGTGTTTGTCTCAACTGTCAGAATTCTGACCTGTTTGTCTCTTGAGACCTAACATGCATAGTAAAAACTCCCCCATCACTGATGACTCTTTTTAGAAACTGATAATGTTCAAAATCAACATATTCTATCCAATAATATTTCTGTAGCATAGGATATGGAAAGAAATATTTTTCTGCTGATTTTACCTGTCATTTTTTATATCATATTTAAGGAATTCGGTAGTTGATTACTTTTATACACCACTTCAAATTCCTAACTGTATTAATAAATTGTTAGCCCTATAAAAATAACTTGGTAGTAGAAGTAAAAAAGGATCTTAAAAACAGTAAATTGACCAAACATTTCCTGTTAAAGCAATCAAAAACAAGTATCTGGTAATATTTGAATTACGTAGTCCAGCAACAAGTAGATGAAATAACCACCAAAAAGCTTTGAAAGGGCCAAAAGGGGGCCTCCCTGGTGGCGCAAGGGGTTAAGCACCGCACTTTGAAGCAATCTGCAGCCTCTGCAGCATGAGTTCAATCCCCAGCTGGCCAGGGAGCAACCCACATGGCACAGAAGACCTCTCCTCTCTCACCCGCTGCTCCCCTCAGCAGTGTATTTCAATCAGTTTGCTGTTCTGCTCCCCACTCTGTCTCTGGTGAATCCTCTCTCACACACACACCCATATCTCTGGCCTATACCCCAGCTCTTGTATGCATAAATAGGTAAATCTTTTTTAAAAACGGGGGCCAAAAGGCTATGTTAAGATACTAACTGTAATAAAATATTGACGATTTTTGTGTTAAGACTAGGGAAAGAACTAGAGCTCAGAGAGCTAAACCAACAGTTGTGGCCAGTTTAGCTCTAGATGAGTTAGTTCTCTGATTAGGAACATGAATCACAGGGGGAGGTTAGGGTTGGAGACTGGCCCCTGCCAAGGGTAGAAGTCTAGTGAACTGCCTCCCATCCTGGGCTGAAACCCAGAAGGACTGACCTTGGAACATGAGTACCACATGGGTGATCTAGAAAACCTCAACCCTTTGTTCTGGACTACCAGTGCCCACAAGTACCTAGGGAAGCAAACAAAATCTCTGTGAATGATAACACTGTCCCAGCCATCAAATTATTTTTACAAAAAAATGTTCTAATACTGTGTAAGGGCCGGACTGGGCACAGGTGCAGGTTTTCTGATCCCATGCAGACCGGGTAAAGGAGGAGTCAGAGTCCTCAGTGGTTTTGCAGGTCTTTTATTGGGGTTCACCAGGCATATGGCAGGCAGGGGTGCTGGCTGGGGGGCTGGGAGGTTGGCAGGCCTCCCAGCCCCCAGCAAGTCTTCACTCTATCTGGGCTCTCTGGCGTTCGTTCTGCTGCTTCTCGGCTTCTGCTTCGGCTTCTACTGCTGCTCTGCTGCTGCTGCTACTGGCGTCCCCCTGTGACGCCGCCCTTAAAAGCACAGTCTCAGCTCAGCTGAATCCCATCTACCTATGCCCACACCCTATTCCAGGTGCCCGCCATCAGGCATGCATTCAGGACTAGGATCCATCATCTATCCTGATGGCGGAAGGGCAGAAAAGCCTGATATTTTCTTTACCCTACAGTCCACCCCCTCAGGATTTTCTGCCATATAGTCTTCATACATACACAATTTTCCTTAACAAACATAAACAATGCAGCCATGGCCCACAAAAGCAAATACATCAAATATAACAAAATACAATATAACAAAATACAACAGAACACAAATAAGCCCAGGCAGGGCACCAACCTAGTGCAAAAGACAATTATTGGTACCAGCAGAAAAGCCACCAAATCTGCCGAAGGCACTGCTCATATGAGGGAGGGGAATCACTCACGGCATCTACTATAACATACCAGGAGCCGTCAGGCTTCCTGGCCTTCTCTGGCTGTAGTCTCGGCTACAAGGCACACACAGCATCCACCCCCAGGATGCACTAGCTCTGGGATTGGCAATTTTATTCTGTTGGGGGTAATCGCCAACCCTCAGGGTTTCTGTCTGCAGTCGCTCCAACACTCGGCCTTCACAACAATGCGACTCACAGACCCCTGCACTCAAGCCAACCCACTGCACAATCACATGGGTCGGGGATCCAAACTCTGCATTAGGCTTGGGCTCCACCCCAAGCCACATTCCCCACCCGTCCCCCAAGGACAGGTTCCTCAGCTCCTCACCCTCACTCAAGAATGAGCAGGGCATCACCCACAGGTGATTTTACGAGACTCACAGGTCTTCAGCATACTCAGGCTGCTTAACAGCCACTCAGGGCTTCTCAACTTAGCATCAGTACCAGCTTTTGCCTTCTTAGTTGGCTTTTCTCCTCCACCTGGCTGCTGGGCATGCACAGGCTGCTTTTGGCCATCTAGGCCCATTGGCCACCCCCAGATTCCCATCTCCTGGGGCTTACAAACAAAACTGTTCCACCCCCAGGGTCCCAAAACATATCAACCTGCAAGGTCCTCCGCCTTCTGACGGGAGCGTCAGTCCATCAGTCCATCAGTTCAAGTCCATTGGCCTCTCCCTGCGTCAGCAATGGCCTGCTGCCTCAGGGGTCATTGGCTGGTCCTTTCCGGTGTTGTTGGCTGGTCCTCTTGGGCGTCTCCTTCATGCCAGGTCCCGTCCTGCAGCTGCCGGACCGTATCCATCTTCTGTGCCGCCCTGGCGCCTCCAGCGTCGTCACAGGCAAACACTTACTCCTTAGTCCCTCCATGTCTTCGCAGGGCTCCAATACCCGTCTACATGGATCTTGCCGACTTACGCCAATTATAAGGGCCGGACTGGGCACAGGTGCAGGTTTTCTGATCCCATGCAGACCGCGTAAAGGAGGAGTCAGAGTCCTCAGTGGTTTTGCAGGTCTTTTATTGGGGTTCACCAGGCATATGGCAGGCAGGGGTGTTGGCTGGGGGGCTGGGAGTTGGCAGGCCTCCCAGCCCCCAGCAAGTCTTCACTCTATCTGGGCTCTCCGGCGTTCTCTGCTTCTCTCTCTTGGCTTCTGTAAGGGCAGGAACAGGCACAGTGCAGGTTTTCTGATCCCATGCAGACCGGGTAGAGGAGGAGTCAGAGTCCTCAGTGGTTTTTTGCAGACTTTTTATTGGGATTTAAACGGTACACAGCAAGCAGGGGTGCTGGGGTGCCGGGAGGCTGGCAGTCCTCCCAGCCCCCAGCAAGTCTTCACTCTATCTGGGCTCTCTGGCGTTCGTTCTGCTGCTTCTCGGCTTCTGCTTCGGCTTCTACTGCTGCGCTGCGCTGCCGCTGCCGCTGCCGCTGCCGCTGCCGCTGCCGCTGCCGCTGCCGCTGCCGCTGCCGCTGCCGCTGCCGGCGTCCCCCTGTGACGCCGCCCTTAAAAAAGCACAGTCTTAACTCAGCTGAATCCCATCTACCTATGCCCACACCCTATTCCAGGTGCCCACCATCGGGCATGCATTCAGGACTAGGATCCATCATCTATCCTGATGGCGGAAGGGCAGAAAAGCCTGATATTTTCTTTACCCTACATACTGACATAGTTAAAAAGTAAAAAAGATAATGAGACATGTAAAGTGACAGGGCAACACAAGGTAAAAGTTGCAAAAACAAGAAGGAACTCAAGATATCAGACAAGTGCTGTGAAATGGAAGCGTGTATTATGTTTATAGAGATAAAAATCAAGCTTTAAAAAGTCAGCCAAGTACCACTAAATTCTAAAATTGAAAAATACAATAAATTAAGAACTCAGTGAATGAGGCTTACCACAGATTAGACCAATGGGAATTAATAAACTGGAAGATAGTGAGAAGAAATAAATAGAGGGAAAAAAAGAGGACAATGTAGAAAAACAAATTAGATAGGCTTTTAGTTGAAGTCCCAGAAGAAAATGAAAGTAAGAGTGAAGCAGCCCTGTGACTGAGAATTTCTGATACCAGTACACAATATGCAGAAAGCTCAGTGTAACTGATGTGGGATAAATAAAAAAAACTGCAGAGCCTCCCTGATGGCCTAGGGATTAAGTCTCAGCACTATCACTGCTGTGGCCTAAGTTCGATCCCTGGCCAGGGAGCTGACCCACATATGGTACAGCAGACCTTTCCTGTCTTGCCCGCTGCTCCCCTCAACATTTGAGTATATATGCCTGTTCTGTTCCCCACTCTGTCTATGGTGAATCCTCTCACCACCCCCCATTCCCCCCCAACACCTCTGTTCGTTTTACACCTCATTTCTTCTATGCAAAAAAAAAAAAAAAAAAAGAAAAAGATTAAAAAGAAAAAGAAACCCACATCTAATATCATTATTACAAAGCTTCAGAAAATAACAACAAAGAGAAGACTATGAATATGTTCAAAATAAAAAGATTTCCTCCAAAGGAGTAACTGCCAGATTGGCAAATGATTCAACAGCAACAAGATACCAGAAGGTATGGGATGATATATTTAAGTCACTCATGCAGAATATTTGTTCATTACACAGCTCAGTTATCCTTCATGGAGTAAGGTAAAATGAAGAAATTTTCAGAAAAACAGAAACACCCCAGGATTCACTACCTGCAGCCTATAAGAAAGGAAAAGCAATTCTAAAGTGTGTTCCTTAGGCAGAAGAAAAATAATCTCAGGTTCAAGCTCAGAGACATAGGAAGGAATGATGAGGAAAGGAAGTCGTGAATATGAGTTAGACAAAACAAATGTTGTATTGAGAAAAGTCATTTGATTTTAGCTAAGAATTCTTTTATCTTGATTGCTTTGGGGGGAAGGGCTCTTTGGGTTGTGGTGAGTTACCATTAATTTGCTTTAAATCTGGGAATTATTTCATCATTTACTTTTCATCATTTGAAAAGTAACATTACTAAATCAACTATTTAAAATGTTTTCTAGGCGTGGCTCTAGCTGTTATTCTCTGTAACACCCGGCATATTAGCGACCATGTTTTCTTAGAAGCTGCAAAGGTAAATGTTTTAAATATTGTTTGGTTTCTTTAGAGATGAATTATAAAGATTAGTGGATCTTAATTAAAAGCAGACATAGAATAAGAGAAGAGAATGGGAAAACTATTATATTTTTGATTTGCCCGTATCCTTTTGCCTAAAAATAATTTTTTATCCTGAGTTTTCAGATGTTGATTGTCTGATATGAGTCCTTTCGTATTTGTGGGGTTTTTTAAGATTTATTTCCATGTAGAAGAATTGAGGTATAGGCCAGAGGTGTGGGGGTGAGATGATTCACCAGAGACAGAGTAGGGAGCAGAACAGGCGGATCTACTGAAATACACTGCAAGGGGAGCAGTGGGTGCTGTGCATGTGGGTTAGCTCTCTGGCCAGGGATAGAACACAGGCCATCACAGTGGGCCTTCTCAATGGTAGCACTAAGCCTTAACCCCTTACATACCCTGGAGGCTCAGAGTACTTTCATATTTGAAACACATATACTGTACCTGTAGTACATATTTCTGAAGGGTAATGTGACAGCATAGATAAAATTATAACTCCTTTTATTTTTTAATGGACAAGTACTGTTTTTTTTTTAATGAGGACCTATTGAAGCTCCAGATTTTGCAATATGAATTTTGAAGAAATCACATTAATATACTTGACATGGCAGAGCAGACCTCCTGTTTCACCTGCTGCTGCCCTCAGCAGTGTATTTTAGTGAATCTACCTGTTCTGCTCCATACTCTGTCTCTGGTGAATCCTCTCACTGCCCCCCATGCTTCTGACCTGCACCCCAGTTCTTATATGCATAAATAAATCTTTTTAAAAAAATAAATCACATAATACACACTTGAATGTCTACTTTCATAGGAGCCATTGTAGTTAGGCCAAGCCTGTATATATTAGGTAAAATATATATCAATAAGTTTTTATATCTGGTTATTTCTTTATTGTTTGATGGTGAACAGTTTTACTTTCTGCAGTGGCTTAAATATGTTCCTGCTAGAAATAAGACTTATGTTACCTATATTATTCTCTGCTGTCCTAAACCTTTTTCTGTTTTATTAGCTCCTTATTGTAATGTGTAAACTTAAACAAAACTCCTTATTGTAGTGTGTAAACTTAAACAAAATTGTGACAAAACTTAAACGAAAGTATAAAAAGCTTTTTTTCTCTTCAGGCACTCACAAATCAGTTGACGGATAAAGAGCTAGCTCAAGGAAGACTTTACCCACCACTTGCTGATATTCAGGAAGTTTCTATTAACATTGCCATTAAAGTAAGTTAATAATTTATACCTCTCTTTATAATTTTAGTGAGGTTTTCTTATACAAGTAATACAAGTTTACTAGATGTTAAGTTTGAAACATTTAAGAAATGCGAAGAAGAAATTTTAGATCATGCATATTCTCTTTTTTTATTTAAATTTTATTTTTATATTCCCCATACAATTACAACCCCCTTATTTTGACCCCAATCTCTCCTTTCCCCACACCCACCCTCCATAGAGTGTCTCTGGTTCATAGTTGTTTGTTGATTTTGATATTTTCTTTCTTATAGTTATTCTTTTTCCTGGTCCCTTATTTAAGTTTTCTAGATTCCTGCTATGAGTGAGACCATCCGGTATTTTTCTTTTTCCTTCTGGCTTATTTCGCTGAGCATGATCCCTTCCAGCGCCATCCATGTTGCTGCAAATTGCATGTGTTTATCTTTTTTGAATGCTGAGTAATATTCCATGGTGTATATGTACCACATCTTCTTGATCCAGTCATCTATTTTTGGGCATTTGGGCTGTTTCCATGGCTTAGCACTATTGTAAACAGTGCTGCTATAAACACAGGGGTGCAGGTGCTCTTTGGAATTAATGTTTCTGTGTCCTTTGGGTAAATACCTAGGAGTGGAATTGCTGGATCATATGGAAGCTATAGGTTTAGTAGGTAAAGAAATCTCCACATAGTTCTCCATAGTGGTTGGACCAGTTTGCACTCCCACCAGCAGTGCAGGAGAGTTCCTTTTTCTCCACATCCTCGCCAACATTTGTTGTTGCTAGTTTTTTTTTAATATGTGCCATTCTCACTGGTGTAAGATGGTATCTCATGGTAGTTTTGATCTGCATTTCCCTGATTACAAGTGATGTTGAACATTTTTTCATATGTCTGTTGGCCATTTGCATTTCCTCTTCAGAGAAGTTTCTTTTTAGCTCTTCTGCCCGTTTTTTGACTGGATTATTTTCTTTGTTTTTGTTGAGTCTCATCAGCTCTTTGTAGATTTTTGTGCTCAATCCTTTATCATTAGTGTTGTGTGCAAAAATTTTCTCCCAGTCGGTGGGGTTTCTCTTTGTTTTGGTTATTGTCTCTTTTGCTGTGCAGAAGCTCTTTAATTTGATGTAGTCCCAGCTGTTTATCTTTGCCTTAACTATCACTGCTTTGGGTGATGTGTCTGTAAAGATGTCTTTGATGTGCATATCATGGAGTGTTTCGCCTATTTTTCCTTCTATGTATTTTATGGTTTCAGGTCTTATGTCTAGTTCTTTAATCCATTATGAGTTGGTTTTTGTGCATGGTGTTAGGTAGTAGTCAAGCTTCATTCTTTTTGCAAGATCATGCATATTCTTAGTACCAGAATATAACCCACATTATTTTGAGTTTGTTGCCTTCTTGTCTTTTTTCTTTCCTAGCACATATGTATATACTTAGGCACCTGTGCCTATTTTTATAATTGGGTTCTCCCTGCACTTTTTCACATTTATGATATAGTATAAGCCTTTGAGGTTCAAATCAGTGATTCTCATGTGTGATCACTAATGCCGAATGGGAGTCTTTTTGTATTTATATCCTAGTTTGTTTAACCATTTCTCTACTTTGGGCATTTGAACATTTTCCTTTTTGTTAGAAATAATATAGTAGTGAAAATCCTTAGAAAAACTTTTATGTGCACTTGTGATTTTTTTCCCTTAAGATAAATTCCTCATCATAAGAACAAAAGGTATTAATTTGTTAAGGTTCCTGTTACATATTATCAAATATCTTGTCAGGAAAAAAGTGTTGATTTACATTGTACCTGTGGATCTGAGGGTATCTTTTTTCCCTCACTTTTGGCAATACTTAGAATTATTTTTAAATCTTGCATATTTAATAGGTAAAAATTGTATGTTGTTTTTATTACAGCATGTGTTATTAATGAGATTGAAGAATTTTGTTTATTAATTTATTGTATTTCTTCCATAAACTGCCTGTTCACGACCTTTGCTTGTTTTTATATTTATCTTTCTACTTCTTAACATTGAATTCTAAGGGCTCTTTATATACTTAGGGTAGTGATCTGTTTGCTGTATTTGTATTTTCCCATTTGTTATTTATTTTAATTTGTGAAATTGTTTGACATGCCATTAAAAGATGTTAAGGGAATTATCTGTTTATTGAATGGAGTGTCTCCTCACCTTCTGTGAATGTCATTGCCTCTCCCACTCCTAAATCATACAAATATCTACCTTCGTTGTTTTCCAAAAACAAAGCATTGTAATCCCTCTGCACTTTATTTTAGTGTATGATGTGCAAAGAGGTAACTTTAAAATGCATCAAACTTACGGTGAGATTGCAGGTGATTTTTAAAAATTTTTTCTACTTTCCATAGTTTCCAAATGTTTTAAAATTAGCACAAGTACTCTTTATTTTTTTAATTTGGAAAAAAAATAACGTCCTTCTAAATTCCACATTTCTGTGTTTTAATAGTATTTTTCCTTTCAAATAAGTAACTCAGAGCCTGCATAGTAATCTTATTTTGTTTTCCAGGTTGCAGAATACTTGTATGCTAATAAAATGGCTTTCCGATACCCAGAACCTGAGGACAAGGCCAAATTCATCAGAGAAAGAATATGGCGAAGTGAATATGATTCACTGCTGCCAGATGTATATGAATGGCCAGAATCTGCATCCAGCCCTCCACAGATAACAGAATAGAAGCACTCCCACTGAAAAATACCTTCCATGCTTCAGGGAACCCTTTTTTTCAGGCACAAAGAGATAATGTTCTGAAATGTATGTTTTCTTTGTTGTATTCTCATCGACCACTTTGCTTGACTTAATTTTTGCCATTAATCTACATGTCTTTAGGGGGTGAATGTGTTGTTATTGACCACCAGTACCCTGCAATCAAATAACCATAATGCTTTGATTCTGATTTATAGCTCATACCACAGCAAAGAAGTGTTTAAAATGTATTTGTGAGTATCTTCATTTATGCTCTTGTTCATGCCTGCCAAAGTATTAGCTATTTACTATTTTAAGTAGTACTCTTAAGTCACCCATCATTTTTAGGGCTACTAAAATGGAAATTTACTTCCTGTTGATATGTATACAGGATTTTAAGAAGCCAGATTTAACCAAATTCTAAAGACAAATTATCGATATCTTAAAATGCTTTTTTATATCTGCTTCATTTTACCTTCATGCTCTGAAATTCCTTTACAATAGTTGAATCTAGAGAAGTGTAAAAAAATCTACCCTATTTATTTTCAGGAACTAAATTGAAACTTAATTATAACATTGTAAGAGAGAAATTGGAACTACTGCTGCCTTTAGACGAAATAGTCTCGTTTTCAATGGTGTATAAAAATCATAGTGTAACTATTTAATAAAGGTAATATCTTAAATTTAAGTGCTTCAATTATGCTATTTTATTACCCAAATGGAAAATTAGGTTTGCTTAGTATGAACAGCGCATTTCCATTTTCATTATTTGTAGATGATCCTAAGGGAAGGGGGTATGGAATGCATAATGCATAAATTAAATTATGACTGGCATCATGTGACTTAACAAATTAGTGATGTGTTTCTCATCTAAATGAGTAATATTTAACTGGAAAGGCTATACCCCTATTTAATAGGGGTGTTTTTTTATTACTTGAGATAATTTTGGAATGTTCCTGTAATTCATTTCTTTGAATATTATTAGTCGTAGGCATCTCTTTCTTCATGGAAGATGAATGTAACTTTTTTAAACCACCAGCTACTTGCTAAGTAGGGTTAAATAAGCAAGGTGTCCAGACCAGGAAATCCCATTTTGACCCCAGTAAGAATGGGTAATTGGTTATAAGACCAGTTTTCTTACGTGACTGACAATACTAGAGAGTTTAAAGGAAAATACAAAAGCATTATGAAAAATGGTAACATTGCTATATATTTGCCTAACATGATTGCTTTGAGGGAACAAAACTTTGAAATGTTCATTCTAGAATATTTACTATAAAAAATTATTCATAGCTACATGTCAGCATGCACATTGTTTGACAACTTTTGCCAAAGTCCATATGTTAGATGTGATACTCTGTAGAGGAAAAAAGGAACACTCCATTCATAGTTATTCTTCTTTACTTTCACCTTCATTGAGAGCTCAATTCTTAATAATTTTTGATACAATTCAGTACTTTAAGAATGCTTTAAATGGCATTGCCATTTGGAATATAGAAAAGTCAGTTAATGCATTTGACAGATGAGTAAAGTCAGAAGTTGCTAGATAAGTCTGTTTTGTAAAATAAGCAACTGGATCACAACTTGTTATATTGAGTTAAAGATGAACATTTTCTTTTTCATATTACCTTTGTCAAAACAAAACCACCATCAAAAATTCTCTGAAATATTGACTTTAGTTAGTAAATCTAATAATTGCAAGTTTGCTTTTTTTGCATAGTGCTTTTTAAAGGCAGGAACATACACTGAGTTTTAAAGTAATTTTACTGAGATGTTTGCTTATTAAATGTGTCCAGGACAATCCTCATGGAAATTAAAAATATTTTAGGGGAAAAGGCCAAATGGCATATACCCTACTTATTTAAATAAAACAAAAATCTTACATTTAAAAAAAAAATCTTACATTTATTTTTTAAGCATCTATTATTGTGTTATTTACCAACAGTATTTTAACAAGTAACAACTATTGAATGCGAATTAAAAAATAGTTTAATAGTCAAGCCAGGAATGCAGGCAGGAATTAACAGCATCATGGAAGAGGGGTAGCAGCATAATGCCATCAAATTGGAAAAGAAACTGAAACATTTGGGCCTTCATGGAAACTCTTACCTAACAAGAAGTTAATTATTTTGAAAAACATTATTTTGAATAGAGAAAAATTTCTGTAATTAGTCTGTCAGACGTGATTTGGTAGGAAAAAGGATACAAGTCTTTCTCATCTGGCACCACCGCCTGTATTATGAAACAAATTGCAAACTAGCAAGGAGAGGTTTATTAACTCTAATGGGAAGTTTTAAAGACTGCTTCTTACCAGGAAGTTGCCTCAAAATCACCATAAAGCTGCTTTAAAGTGCAGGTGCCTGTCTCCCCTCCTTGCAGGCCCCCGAAAGGTGTATTTTCTGCAGATCCCTCCTTGATTCGCATGCATACCCTTCCCTGCCTGCCCAATCTCTGCCTTTAGCAGAATTCTCAATCGTCTAGAAAGCTAATTGACTGCTCTTGCTGATGCAGTGGGTCTGGACTGTGGCCCAAAAGTCTCATCTCTGACAAGCTGCCAGATGCTGGTACAGAGAGTGTCCTGAGTGGCACTGCTTCTGGGTATGGAGTGTGGTGTGCAATTTATGTTCAGTGCACATGCAGAATATGCTTTATATGCAAAAGGTAAATTAGGTTTTTACACGGACTTGGTTTCATCTTTTTTCTAAGGTATTATTGACAATTTCAGAGATAGAACCTGATTTGATATTTGTATATATTAGTAACGATCACCACACTAAGTCAAGTTCATGACCGTACAGTTACAATGTTTCATTTGTTATGTGTAGTTTTATAGGATGTTTATAAGAACAAAAACTAATACAGAACTTTTAAACATTTTTCTAAAGCTACATTAACTAGAATATTGTTCAATTCTAGATTTTTAATGTACTTATTATCAAGTAAAACCTAGCAACCATTTTTCATTTATAAAAGATTAGCTATCAAATGGATATTTGTTTCTTCCCTGTTGTTGTTGTCTTATATGACTGACCCTATCCTTTGTTCTTTCTTTAAATTATCTGTCTCTGCAGATAAGATTCTGCTTTGCAAAGGAATTGCTTATATATTCATACCAAAGCATAATAACTGTTAAGGGATGTGGAACATTAGTTACTGCCCTCAGATAACTGAGAACCCCAAAGGGGATGGTGGGTAGAAAGCATTGCCTTAGAGAAAATGCTTCGTCCAAATGCTCCTGTAGCTTTTTTCCCAAGTCCATTCAGTAACCCTGGATGATAACATACTCTTGGGTTCTGTTGATTTCACCAAAATGGAATCCACTCTTAAGCATACATAATACTTGAAAACATTGATAAAAATCTCAATGCTCTTTACTGGGATTCCATTTAGAGAGACATTTTTAAAGGATGAAATAGCACCAATATCATATTTCCACCTAAAATAAGATCACACGGTTCAGAGGCAGGCACCTTGCTGGCTTTGTAGAAAATAGTGCAGGTTCATCATCTAAAACTTTGGCTCCTGACTGAGTTGTGATTTGGTCTTTCATGTGCATCTGAAAGTTAAAATGATCTAAATCCTCTACAGACAAGCTAAATCATGTAACAGACTTAGCATTTAAGAGATTTAAGATTAAGATATTAAGATATTTAAGCTACTTCTAAAACTGTAGGAAACGTCCATCTCCCCCCGGACCTCCTAACTGTGAAATCAAGGTAAGATATTTTCATGTGAGGAAAGATAAGTCTCTGTTTTGTTTTGTTTCCAATTTTAATAAATTCAGTTGGGCCTAATTAGGACATGATTCTTAGCGCTAAATCCTTACTAGGAGTTATTCAGATAAAGTAGTGATTAGATTTAAAAAACAATTGACATTTTTATTTATTTGACAAAATTGTGCTGTTCCAAGAAAAAAGTCGGGGTCTGATAATGCTTATGTGATCACAGTAGGTGAATAGAACATACAAATGAAGTCAAATTATTTTGGATGATTTGTATCTTTCTGTTACCAATTTTTTTTTGCCAATAAAATGTTTGTCATAAAGGCTATTTCATCTTGGTTTTTTTTCCTAAATAAAAACTTAATTTGCCACTACATTCAGCACAATTTTTAAAATTTTAAGACTAAGGGGAAATTTGTTTTCATTTTGCTCTTCAGTTTTCATTATGCTCTTTTGTGGTCTAGAAAAGTCACTTTCCCTTACTTTCCTCAATTTAAGTGTATAATCTAGCAAATTGTTGATTCATATATAGTCATTGAATTATCACCAACACTTTAGCTATGTACGGTTACCAAGTCATGATAAACTAAACTTTATGAGCACTGCCTACTCTGTGCCAGGTATTGTTCTAAGCATCAGCATACTTAAGCCTCAAACAGGCAGAGAGGTGATGGGACTTGCCAAAGTCCTCAGCTGGTGAGTGGCAGCTGGTGAGTGGCTGGGGCTCTTCACTGCAGTCCCTCAGCCTCTGTGATAGATGATTTCATCTGGATCTTAGACACCTTACCTTCATGAATTATGAAAATTCTTCACCGTTCTTACAAGATTGTCTTAAGCCCCTTTTAATTGCATTTTACCAGTTCATCTGGTTTGTACTTTGTTCCCATTCGTGATCTAGTATTTTAAGTGTTGGATATAAAGATAAAAGATTTGGTTTTGCATTTGATAAATTACACCAAAGATTCCTTGTAGTCAGCTCACTAACATCTTTTGTTAATTTCCACAGAACCACCAACTGTTATCACTGTGCAAATCAGTTTTGTTAGTGGTTATGTATTTTGTGAATCTGCTAATGTTGATGAATTTAAATTGTAAGATAGATATTTTAATGGTATCCGTTGTATTATATGCACATGTAACTTCCATAAAAAGGTGAGAACAGTTAGAAAGTAGTAATATAAAATTGTATGTGGTGTAGGGAATATCTATTTTAGTTAAATATTTTCAAAGTAAAATTTCTGCCCAATGTTTTATTATACTTTGCCTGATAACCTTAAAAATTAACTGAAACTAAAACTGTTATTTTTACTATTGATATTTTTGTGTGCCCTTTGATAACATCCCCAGCATTCGTTATTGACTTCAAGGAAGCCACGTTTCAAATATCATGCTTAAACTCTCACCTTTGTGTTTAAGATGAGATGAATAATCATGTGGCAGTTGCTCGTGTGACAACTAGTGTACGGGGACAGTTGTGTAGAGCCCATTGTGCCAGATTATTACTGATGGTTTCAGCAATCAGTCTAAAATCTTCATGATGATTGGGTTTTTTTTCTTTTGTGATATTTTAATTGTGATGAGATGTGTGTATTTTCTTAGTAAAATTCTATTCATAAAAAGTGCGTTGTGACCTTGTTTTTAAAGATTACTGTATATAGATACTTTTAAACTTAGTATTATCTTAAACCTTAACACACAGACACCCCAGAATAGCTGATCCATTGTGACTATATTGTAAAACTTAAATTTTCATGTGAAGCATGAAATCATGCTCCTCTTTTCCTTTTAGTCAGCTTCTTACTCTTTCTGTCCTTATTTAATCATAATGGAATGGAATTAATGAATTCCAATAATGGAATTATTTCTCGCTTCTTCCCCTCACCCCATATGTACTCCAAGACCCTAATCTTATAATATTAAGTTGATTTTGTGGTATAGGGGAAGAAATGACCTAACAGCTAATACCTAGTGAGTACTGCCTTCAGGCTACACAGACATTGAATTACAACTAACACCTCAGGCACGTTATGTATGGTAAGGACCTGCTATTCTTTTAAACTTCACAGTGACCTGATAAGGTGAAGCTATTAATATTTCCTCCATTTTACAGATGTAGAATTAGTCATAGAGTCACTTAAGCCAATGAAATGACAAAGTGAGGCTTTAAACCTCTCATGTTACAACTTGACAAAACCAGTTTAAACCATACACCGCCTAGGCTGAGAATGTGGCAGCAGCAAATCGCAGTTGTGTGGTCTCAGTCGCAATCAGCAACTTCGAGAAACCATCAAGTTCCTGTCACTTCCCCATCCAGTGACTGATTCCTTCCCTGCTGTCAGATCACTGACGTCCTGCCCCATCCTCACTCTTAGGGGGATAGCCTTGCTTCCTACTTAACAGAAATAGGACAATCATTTCCTCAGCTTCCTTGGAAAAGTGAGAAGCAGCAGCCCGACATCCAGGAGCTGGCCTGGTCTGAGCCGGCCCTACTCTCACCAGGGACTCCCAGCAACCTGGGTGGTCTCCATCTGGACTAAACCATGTGACAACATTGACATCAGAAAAGGCCACTCTGACCACGATGGATCCAGAGGGAAAGAAGGCCATTCCATCTTGTCTGCACACGGACAACACACGGACATGGTCCAAGCCTTGGAATGACCGAACCCCTTCTCTTCCCACTCCTACCCCCCAAATCCTGCTTAGTGTGCTTGACTAGTCATTTAGCCTCACTCTAGTCTACTCCCTTTAGATGTTATTTATCAAGATAACCAAACTTAGAATTGTCTCCATTTTCTGACAGCACCCCGTGTAGAGCAAACCCTAACTTCTGTGGCTCCTCTGCAAATTCACACAACCAAAACCCAAATGCTGCAATTGGTGCTTTCCAATGTCTCTTACAAAAATATCTCACAGTTCCCTATGGTGTGTTTACCCTCCTGCAAGTAAGAAATTCAACTTGGTCACAGCTCCTGTTGGTCTTTGTCAGGAGGACGGAGATAGCCTGCACCTGTACCCATGCAGAAGAGTCAACCAGGGCCACCCCCACCCCAACAGGCGCAGGTGGATTCTCCTCACCCTCTCATGAGCATCACTCATCAATTCTCCCTTCTCTGTTTAATCCATTTCCTCCCATGAATAATCTCAGGAGCCATGAAACCCCTAAAGTAAGATGCAGAATTGTGCTTATGTCTTGAGCAGGGAGAAGGCCCATCATCTTTATTAAATGGACTTTTCTCTAAGCAGAAAAGATGAAGAACAACTAGCTTAGACCATTTTAAACTAGTCCATCGTGTTTTGGAAGAGGAGGCAAGCTGAAATACAAGTTCCAACTTTCACCAAGGCTTAAATAGGTAGACAAAGATCTTTCATTACCTGCTAAAGCAAATAATACTCATATGTCAGCATCAGTGACTCCACACCCCGTCCCCAAGTACCTACCCCACTTCTTAAATCCTGAACAATATGCATGTCAAATACCATCTAGTTTGTATTTAAACTGATTAGAAGGCAACTTTAAAAACAAGTTTTTTTCTCAACTGGTTTGATAATTAAGACACTGCAGACAGAGCAACCAGGAGAAAAACCTCTCAGATCTCTGACTTCTGCGGGTGTAATTGACTAGCAATGACAACTGCTGCAGTCGGAATCCACACCCATCCCTGCAGGGGCCACAATTGCGGCAGGCTGCCCTCAGCGATGACTTCACACACCAAGGGCACTTAGACACTCTGATAGGTGACTTCAGTTTTGTCCTGCCATGCTCAGAACCATGTTCAATCTAAGATGTCTTCTTCATCCTTTCTTCCTCCCAGTCTCCTTCCCTAGAAATCAGACCTGCTTCATGGTCCGAAGGCGCCCAACCCCGCCCAGCTCCCTCCCCATGTTCACTGGCATTTTTCCCTGTAAATCACTGGCATGTTTAGTCCTGTCTTGGTGCCTGCCTTTTGCAGGATCCATATCAATGCAGCAGGTGATTTGGAGTGTACGTTGGTCAGTTAGAAACACTGAAATTTTTACAGCCATTGGTATGATAATTAGAATATCTGGGTTTTCTGATGCTGTTTCTTTTCTAGATACGATTTCCCAAACTTCAGACCATGTTGTAAACTATCCAAAGTCAAGCTGGACACCTACTCCCAAAGCAGACACTTTCAGAGCAATAACAGTAGCAAAGAGATCTGATGCTGACGGAGGTGGGTTACTCCTCTGTGAGTAATCAACTACCAACTACCAGGCTTTAATGAAAACGACGCTCAGACCAAATTCTGCCATGCAAGCAGACATTTGATTGGCAGCTCTTCATTAGACAGCAGACATATAACAATTCATGTCATGTAATGTACATTTGATGACAGCTTTGCTTTCTGTCCTTTCAGGTCCTGTGGCCACACCCTACACAGGAAAGTTTCACTCTACGTGAGCAACATTCCAGAGGCAGGATTAGGTATCATGAAGTCAGAAATGGCTTTGGACACAATACATAGGGAACCCACCCTCAGGTTCCATCCCAAGGGTAAGATTTATAGTCTCATTGGATTCTTTAATCTGTTTGTCCACAGGTGGGGACGATCTCTCTGTTATTCAGCCAATTTCCTCTATATACATATCTCTAACATACTGCAATTTAAGGACAAAAGTCCATTTTTAGCATTCCTCATGCTAATTAACAAGTCACTGGAGTCACCAATAAAATCCACTTTTGAAAATGATATACTAATGAACAAGGCATGTTTTTTTTTTTATCAAAATGATAAAAATAGAAAGTCTTGAAGTAACTGCTACCATAATGCAGTCCTTCCTGACATACCATGATCACCCCAGGACTCCCCATGACACATCACCTGACCACCCCTACAATTAAAGCTTAAATTAATTGACAAGTACTTGGTATCACATGAATATAACAAAATATTAAAAACCAACGATAGCCATTGGAGCAGATCATCTATCTCAATTTGATTTAGAAAATGGTCACCGTGGAGTTGAGAGATTAGTGTTCAAAAATGCTTTCAAGAAAGGTAAGGAAATAGTTCATTTGAGTGAAATCCAAGTGCTAGGATTATGAAAGGAAATATAATGTAGAATGAATTGAGAAAAAACCTTTTCTGGATGAAAAAATTCTGCTTGGTCAGTTAAATTTGAGGTACAGGGCCTTCCTGGTGGCGCAGGGGGTTAAGCACAGCACTGTGAAGCAATCCACAGCCTCTGCACCTCAAGTTCGATCCCAGGCAGCTAGGGAGCAGCCCACATGGTGCAGCAGACCTCTCCTGTCTCGCCTGCTGCTCCCCTCAGCAGTGTATTTTGGTCAGTCTGCCTGTTCTGTTCCCCACTCTGTCTCTGGTGAGTCCTCATCCCCTGCATCTCTGGCCTGTACCCCAGTTCTTTTATGCATAAATAAATAAATCTTAAAAAAAAACTGAGGTGCAGATTAGACATATTTTGGATGACACTCAGCATCCAATCCTACTCTGGAGACATTTCCCACTCTGTAGAATGTTGCCGGAGATAGAATGTGCCACCTTCTGCTATGAAAGTCAAAGCAGTTAGGGCAGAGCCTCCTTTCCCTCCCTCCAGGCAGCAAGAGGTAGCTAATGTTGGGAAGTCAACGGTGGTGCCCACATGAAGCACGGAGGCAAGACTGTGGCTGTTGCTTCCGCTACTTGCATTAGTTCTTGTTTTCATCATTGATAAACTCTCTGGTCTCCTTTCAATCGGCTTTAATAAGCCAAAATTTATTTCTAAGACTACAATCAATAATTCTGACTGACATCTAATTAAGATGTCGACTTTTTTTTTTAAAGATTTCTTTATTTATGCATACAAGAACTGGGGTACAGGCCAGAGGTGAGAGGGGTGAGAGGATTCACCAGAGACAGAGTGGGGAGCAGAACAGGCGGGTTGACTGAAATATACTGCTAAGGGGAGCAGTGGGCAAGTCAGGAGAAGTCTGCAGGGCCAAGTGGGTCACCTCCTTGGTCGGGATCCAGCTTGTGTTGCGGTGGCTACAGGTAGCTGCGTCTTAACCCCTTGCACCACCAGGGAAGCCCCAAGATGTCAACTATTTATAAATGCATATGCATCAGCCCATCCAACTCAACTATAAGCAAATCGAAAGCTGGGGTTATGTCTTTTGCTTATTTTGTATAATCTCAAAATCACTTTCTCACCCAGTTCAGGTTTAAGCAGCATTTGATCTCACATAACCAAATAATGAACAAAAAAAATTCTGAATATAATTTGAATCGAAGGGAACAAAGTCATGGAGTCTGCCATGTTAGCATGCTATTCATTCTGAAACTTGCTATTGCTTTTTATTAACTGGTAATCAGAGGCACTATCCTTCCCCCCTTATTGCAGGTCAGTTACACTTGTTAAGGAGGTCCCAGGGAGGCCCACCTATCTATGTGTCGAGAAAACCATCAATACCTTACATGTAGGTTACCTCTAAGCAGAAAGCTAGAAAGAAAAAAGAAAACAGCTTTCTTCTTTGTGTATAAATGATATAATTAGATGTGCTAGGTATCACTTTGGGATGACTCACACTGGAATAACACTTTACAAAATATTTTCAACAAACACCATTTAGTCCTGACAAAAAAATTGAGACAAGAAGGGCAATTATTATCCTCATTTTACTAATGGAAAAACAGAGGCTTGGAAAATTTAAATGACCTGGTCAAGGTCACCCAAGTACAAACGGATGAAATCAAGACTCCAATAGTCCTTTGACTCAAAACTTCATGTTGTTAAACAGTGTAAATAAACAAATTACAAATTGGAAAAATATTTGCAGTGTATCTTAGAGAGTTATTCTCCTTATTAATTTCTATTTCTTTAATATATTTCTATATTTAAATTTATTTAAATTTGAATGTCTATATTTAATATTTTCTACATTCCTATTAATATACAAAGCATCTAAAATGAGAAAAAAAGGCCACCCACACAATAAAAAATGGAACAAAAGATATGGACAACAAGTTCACAGCAAAAAAAAGGCAAATGACTTTTAAATTTATGTAAATTAAAATATCTGGCAACATTCAGGCAGGGAATACATTTGTTTGTCAGTTGCAACTACTGGAAGGCTACAGATATAAGAATTTCACAAAAAATACAAAAGCATTCCATGAGAATCAACAGGCTATAGGGATTTTACAATCAAGAGAAATGTGCATTTTATTATTATTTTTGTATACTATGGGCTATACTTCCTTTATATCAGTTAAATAAATGAAAAAATTATTTATTAAATAAGCATATATGTATTTTTGCCAGACAGCTGGCCATCAAATATTTCTCAGTATATCGCTGAGTATATCCAAATACAAAAGGAATTACAGTTAAATCTAAAAATATATTTGCTACTCAGTAATGGGTCTAAAAATGTCAATGGGTCAGAACCTCTCTCACCAATTCTGGGTCCCATGTACCATGCTGTCAGCAACTAAGATTTTTGAAATAAAAGTGATAAGATTTTTGACTTATTAAAATGATATAAAATCGTTAATGAAATAAATTTTACTTTACAGAAATCCAGCCAGTAGTGCAAAAGAAACAGTAGTTACAACATCACCGTTGTGCAACTCCTAGAGAAACAATGAATCCAGAGAAGAATTAAGAATATACATATTACAAACAGGGATGCTTTAGGTTAATGGAAATTTTGTAATGGGTGGATGAGGCTGACAAACTGAATCCACTGATCAATCTTAACAGCATCAAAAAATGCACAGCCAGGTATTAGAAAGTACACTACAACCTATGAAATATTCTTGCTCTCCATGGCCAAGGAATCCTAACTTACTCAAGTATCTAGTATCTAACTACTAGTTTACAGTAAATATTAGAGCTAGAGAAACAAATTAAATGACACCACAAGGAAGCAATTGGCAAATTCCAGAACTTTACGAATTCTACAGGACAAACGACCTGTTTTCTTTAACAACAACAACAACCAAAAAGTGTGTGGAAATAAAACAGGAAGATAAGTTCCTAATGATTAAAAAAGACTTAAGGAGCAAATCAACCAAATACAGTGTGTGAACATTATTTGCATCCTGATTTGTACAAACCAACTATAAGAAGGTGTTTTTTGAGGAATCCTGAGAAAGCCAAATATGGACTGGATATTGAAATATGTTATTATTGTTTATTCTTCTATATTTGATAATGGCATTGTGGTAAGACTTTTTAAATGATCAATATCAAAAAATTAAAATGTATTCATAATGCAACAAAGAAACAAATCTTAATGGTTACTCCTGATAAATAAAGACAAACAAACTTGATATATTAAAAAATTATTGCTAGCTTTTTCAAGTGAAACAGTAGTTAAGTGTTTAAAGAGACATTGTTTTCATTTTTTTAGTTTTCTGATTGAAGAAATCAGTTTCAAAAATTATGAAGGGACCAGGAAAATTTGAAAAATGTGAACAGTGACTGCATATATGAAAATGTTAAGGAATTATTGTCTTCACCATTATTTTATGGTTGCATATTTTTTAGTACTTATCTTTCATATTTGTATACTGAACTGAACTACCCACCATACCACGTTATGGGTATATGCAAAATGAGAGTTTTAAAAAGAAAGAATCCTTAAATACTTATATAAGTATGAATAAAAAGAAATTGTGCCTTGAATTTGATTTGAAATAACCCAGGGTTTTGTTGCTGCTTTTCGGAGAGAATAAGATTATAAGTGAAACAAGATGAACCAGATGTTGCTAACTATTGAAGGTGAGTGATAATTATACACAAAGGATCATGAAACATGTTCTCAACTTTTGCATAAATTTAAAAATTCTCATAAGGGAAAAAATTTTATATGAACAGAAAGTTATATCCACACTTCTTTAAAGATGTAACTGCCTCTGAGAAAAGAAGTTATAGGAAACTCTCTGATGGGTGGGGAAGAACAAGCCATGAAATTCTGGAGGGGATGGGTCTTTCTGACTGCAACAGCATTGTTAATTTAGCCCCTGAACCACCACAGGTTCTTGTCCCAGGAAGCGGTCAAAAGGAATTTGCAGACATTTTAGATAAGTAAGCAGAGAGAAACAAACTTCGTTTAAGAAAATAAAGAAAATTTTATTTAAAGGAAGAAAGTAAGGACTCCCAAGTACAGGGCAAGGAAGCCATTGTGGGCCTGTGTCTAGGGGTATTTAAACATTTTCTCCCCCTCTATTCTAAAATCTCATCACATTGTTTTGTGATTGGCTCTTTGTCCCAGTGGCTATACTCCTCCAGGCAGACGTGCCCATTTTCCCAGCCCTCTTTTTTTTTTTAGAGTTTCTCTTTTTCTTCCTGTCCAAGGTCTCCTAAAATTTACTGTTCCAATTAACCTCAAATTTCTCTATTCCTATCTTAGAAGCCCTCTCTTAACTCTCCCAAAGTCCCTGACGGCACTGTCCCTGACACTGCCTAATTAACCCTAACTTGCCTGAGACTCATTTGGAGGGTATAATGGGGGTTGGGGGGCAGAGAAGGGAGGATTCCTGTAAGGGCAGGAATGGACCAGTGCAGGTTTTCTGATCCCATGCAGACCGAGTAAAGGAGGAGTCAGAGTCCTCAGTGGCTTTTTGCAGGCTTTTATTGGGGTTTACCAGGTACACAGCAGGCAGGGGTACTGGGGGGCCAGAAGGCTGGCAGGCCTCCCAGCCCTCAGCAAGTCTTCACTCTATCTGGGCTCTCCGGCGTTCTCTCTCTCTGCTTCTGCTGCTGCTTTCTCAGCTTCTCTTTTGACTTCTGCTGGCATCCCCGTGATGCTGCCCTTTAAAAAAGCCCAGTCTTAGCCCAGGTGAATCCCATCTACCTATGCCCACACCCTATACCAGGTGCCCGCCATCAGGCATGCATTCAGGACCGCAAGGATCCATCATCTATCCCGATGGTGGGAGGGCAGAAAAGCCTGACATTTTTTCCTTACCCTACAATTCCTTTGCTGAGCTGTGCCCCAGATCTAGCTGTAGGTCAGTATGTGTCTTCATAAGCAGGCAAATGTCAGGATAAATACAGTTCAAGTTCTAGTGTTTAATACTTTGCCAAATCAGACTCCGCTTGACCAAATCCACTGTATTTTCCTAAGTCTAAGTCTCAACTATCCTACAAGACCCAGCCCAACTCCTGCAGTTCTTGCTTTATCTCAGGGCTAGTGATTCCCCCTGCTTCCCATGTTCTTATCATTCACCTTGCCTTCCCAATTGCTCCCTCCTCTGTTATCTGATCCATTTTTTTCTGCTCCTTAAAACCAGAAACCAAACATATTTTAAAAATTCTCTTAGCATCAAAAATAATACGAACCACAGAGTTGGAGATCAATTAATATTTCAATAAATAAAGTCTTCGCAGAGGCCCCAAAGTAGAGTATTTCATGCTATATTGAACAAAGGGGTGGAGCTGGGTGGCATGGGAAGCGTTCTTCGTTGGTTCTCCTGGTGCTTGCGAACCACCCTCCTACCCACAGCTCATCAATCCCTGTTGCGAAGCTGCAGGATACTTGACCACCTCAAGAGAAAATCAGGGCACCTGGCACTGCATAGGAGCTTGAAATTCTTTTTTTTTTCCCAGTTGCAATTTATTTTTTAAGATTTATTTATACAAGAGCTGGGGTACAGGCCAGAGGCGCGGGAGGGTAAGAGGATTCACCAGAGTGGGGAAAAGAACAGACTGACTGAAACACACTGCTGAGGGGAGCAGCGGGCGAGCCAGGAGAGGTCTGCCGCGCCATGTGGGTATCTCCCTGGCCTGCCGGGAATCGAACCCGCGCTGCAGCGGCAGCGGACAGCTTCACAGTGCTGCCCTGCTGTTGCAATTTAAACGGAATGAATCCTCTCCCTCGGGTTAGTGAGAACCACGTGCATCTTCTGCAGGCAGCAGCGGGCCTGGGCTCCGGGTCCGGTGGGCCGCGCGGTGCCCTGAGCGTGGACCTAGGGGGCTCGAAGCCCAATCCCTAAATGGAAAGTGGGTCTGGAAAGACACTCCTGCTGTACAGCAGCAGCGATGCGGACGCTGATGAAAGGCACAGGGCACAGCATCCTTTTCCCCTTAAGACACCGCAAGGTTGAACAGGTCAAAGCCTCCTCCAGAAAGACTAGAAAGGACACAAATCTGTGCAAGAGCCAAGCAGCCCTCTCCCTGGAAAGCAGCGCAAGGAAAACAAGAAACAGAGCCGTAAACGCGGGCCCTCCGGGCGTTCCGCGCCTCGCGGGGTCCCGTCCCCCAGTGCCCCAGCGAGGCGGCGCGGGCGGTGGAAGGGAAGGTGCGGGCGGCCGGGAGGTGGCTCCGCGGGCCACCGAGCGCGGCCTCCGGGCGTCCTAGAGCGGCCACGGCGGCCACGCCGGCGGCTCACTTCCGCCCGCGCCCGGCGCCGCCCGCAGACGGCTGGGCCTCGGCGCCGGCCTGCGCCTCGCTCGGCTCCTGCCGCGGGCTCGGGGAGTGGGTGAGTGGGGCCGGGCGCGCCGGCGGGGCGGGCCGGGCTGGCCGCCGCGGCCTGAGTCGCGCGGGCGGGCGCCGCGGACCCAGGCCCGGACGGCGAGCGGGAGCGAGGACGCGCGAGTCCCAGGCCCGGCGCCGGCCGCGGCCCCCCGCCCTTCGGGAGACCCGCGCGGCCTGGCGGGAGCGGGGCTCGCCGCGGCCCGGAGACCCGGAGACCCGGCCCTCGGGGAGCTGCCTGACCGCGCCCCGGCCCCTCCCGGGCTGCAGTCAGCCCTGGAATGGAGGGTGCTCGCAGCTGCCCCTCCTGCCCCGCTGGGTGCTCGCAGGGGCTGCTCGGCCCCGCAGCCTCAGTCCTCGGGAACCCCCCAGTGCAGGCCCCGGGCTTGCCAGGGAGTTGGGGTGCCCGGCCAGGACCGAGAACCGCCGGCCCGGGGTGTCAGTGATGCGCTGCGATCCTGTGCTGTGCTGTGTTCTCCACCGAAATGTGCACTTTGACCAGGGCGGAGCACAGCCCAAGGAAAGCCAGCAGAGGTCTTTGCCCAAGAAGAGGGACGACCGAATCTGGTTTGGTCATTTTTAATTCCTAGTGTCTACAACGGTGCATGGCATCCGACTTGCGCCATTGGTTTCATAAATTAACTCGGGATGGCTTCCTGACCCAGTGAAGGGTTTTGATTATTCGGCTTCTTTTTAAACATAAAATAGGGTCGTGTGCTGAGTTCCCAACTCATGAGCAGTCTGTTTCATCTGTTACCCCCACCAGCACTGCATTGTTTTAGAGCAAATCTGAAATGTGCCATTTCATCCCTTGAATACTTTTTTTATGTTTGTAAAACACAAGATGAAGCCATTACCGATGTAATAAGCTTTTCATCTATCCAGGCATTGTTTACATTTCCCCAGTTGTCTTTTTCAGATTCCAAACAAGCCACACATTACATTTGGTTGACCTCTCTTTTTTAAATCTCCTTTAACCTCCTTATCTCTTCCAACTTTATTTTTTCCCCCTTGTTATACTTGTTCAAGACACCAAGTCATTTGTTCTGTAAGTTTCTGGCAATACTGGATTTTACTGTTTTCATCCCTGTGGTGTCTTTTAATAAACTAGTATTTAGATTATAGCCTTTTCCAAATTAGTTTCTACTTTTGGGCAAAAAAAAACCTCCCAGGACTTCATGTTGCATCACATTGGGAGATAGATAAGATCTTGTCTCCGTGGTGTTAAGATTGATCAGTAGACCTTTCATAGATTGCACAGCAGGAAAGTAAAATAATTGACCTGGGAATTGCAGAAGGATGCCAGCTAATAACTGCAGATGGAATGAAAGACTATCACCTTCTGGCAACCCTTAATGAAGTAATGGATCCTGGCAATGATCATTAGCAACTGTTAACATCAGAAAAAGAGAGACAGCCAGGCAGCATGTACTTCCTGATAGAAGTATCCAATACCACTTACCAAGTATTCTTGGATCAATACTTAACAAGTATTCTCTGGTAGTGGGTGGAGGACATCGATGAAAACAGATGGGCCTTGAGTTGATAATTGTTGCAGCTTGGTGATGGGTATGTGACAATGTGTTGCACCAGTCTCAACTTTTGTATGGTTTGAAATTTTTTTTTTCTTTTTAAGATTGGCTAGTTAACTAGTAAATTCTGGTCAGCCTGATCCATCCATTAGCCTTTCACTAAGTGGTTCTCATGTTAGAGTCACAGGGGAAGAATTTTTTCTTTATATAAAACACATGTCTCACTTGCAGAACTTCCTGTTTAATTCTTCTGGGAAGGAGCCCAATAATTTTTTAAAAACTCTCCAGGTGACTCTAATGTGTTCCAGGGTTATGTACCCCTCACCCAGATCCATTATTTGTTAGGGATTGCAAAGTGGTCATATTCTACTATTCCTTCTGTATTTATTAGCTAATTTAAAAAAAAAAAACAACTTTCCACATTCTCACTGCTCTTATAAACTTCAATTGAATAGGAAGACCTCTGCAAACTAAACTGCTTATCAAAAGAAGGCTTGATCTTGAAAGTGAAAATGTGTAGTAACACACAGGACACTAGCAGTAAGCTCAAGGCTTGTGCTTGGGTGGAGAGGTAGCCGTCTTAGGTATGTATGAGGCGTGTGAGGCCATGGGGACAGGGGACAAACATCCAAATGGAAAAGAAGAGCTGGATGATTGTGTCATTAGAAAAGCATGCTGAGCCTTATGACACTTAAAAAATAAATTAACTGTAAAATCGATAAATGCTGCTCATTGACACCAAAAGCAAGCCAAGTGTTTAAAAGTTCATAGTTCCCCTACCATCACCGTTTTAATCACCTCTGAGATAAACCACTTTGAACAGTATGGTGTGTGTCCTTTCTACTGGCCTTTCTCTATCTTACGTATATGTAGGGGTTTACAGTATTGCTAGAAAAATGAGATTTATGCCATAGTGATGGATAACTTTTCTCATTATCATCCCTCCAGGACAAGAGTCTTAGCTGCAGACAATAAACATTCAGCTATTTCCCTATTGACATATTTTCATATTGTTTCCATATTTAGCCACAATAGAAGTACCATGATAAACATTGTAACATAGATCCTTTATTTCCTAGATTCCCAAAGATGGGTTTGCTGGGATGAAGTTTCCTCTAACTACCTTAGACATTGGCTACTTTTCTTGCTTATTGGCTGTTTGAATTTCTTCTCTAAATTTTCTGTATTTTTCCACTGCTTATTGGTCTATCAGATTTTTTCCTTTGCTTTTTCTGGTGCACCTGCATGAACTTTTTCTTAGAGGCATTGACTATCATATAGTACAAACAGTTCACTCCACTTTGTTTTCGTTCTTTGACTTTGAGTTTTTGATATGTATAAGTTTGTAGAAGAAAAACTGTAGAAGAAAAAATGTCTTTTTATAATTCCTGGGTTCCCTATCTTGCCAATAAGGACTTTCCCATCCCCAGTTATATATATTCTCCTAATTTTTTAATATATTTGATTGGATCTTCTACAATTAAATTTCTAGCATTTACAGAATAAATTTTTATGTATAATGCATAGTGAGAATGCTTTACTTTTTTTCTACACGAGTAGCCAGTTATGTCAGTGTTGTTCATTAAATAAGCCACACTTTTTTTTAAAGATTTATTTATTTATTTATTTATTTATTTATTCATTTATTTATTTATTTATTTATTTATTTATACAAGTACTGGGTACAGTCAGAAGTGCGGGAGGGTGAGAGAATTCCCCAGAGCCAGAGCCGGAGCAGAGCAGGCAGAAGGACCGAAGTACACTGCTGAAGGGAGCAGCGGGCGGCAGGAGAGGTCTGAGCGCCATGCGGGACCCTCCTCTGGTGGCTGGGGAGCAGCCGGGGATCGAACCGGCGCCACGGAGGCTTGGGGCAGCTTCGCAACCCAGTGCTCAACTGCTGCGCCACCGGGGAGGCCCATAAGCCATGCTTTTTATACTTTTGTTTTATCTTCGTTTCTATATATACTTGGGTTTATTGCTGGGCTGTTCATTCTCCACATCTATTTTTGTGCCAGTATTGTTCTCTTTTAATTATATCTGATTATTATAGTAGTAATACCTAGAAATACAAATCACTACTCACTACTTTGCATACTTTTCTTGTCCATTCTCAGACATTTTTTCCCCGCCATGTGATCTTTGGATTTTTTTGTTTCAAGATAAATCCTATTAGAAATCTGATAGCATTTGCAGTAGATATACCTATATTATGTAAAGAGTAACATTTCTGTGGTAGAGACTCTTCCTCTCAGGGAACATAATGTGTCTCCCCATTTATTTGGGTCTTTCAGGGTCTATTTCCTGTCAAATTTACTTCTAGTTATTTTTAAGGTGATTTTTCTTTTTTTGCTTTTGTGAATGAAATCCCCCCCCCCATTTCTATTTTTATTTGGTTATGCTTGAATTGAGAAGTTATTGATGGCTTTGTGTGTTTATCCGGCTGTCTAGTTTTCATATTTTAGCAGTTGTTGTTAAAATTACTTATATGTTTGTTTTTCCTCCCTGCCATCAATGTGGGTAATTTGTAACTGGTTATAAGTTTAAGTTCATTCTAATTCTATTTGCTGCACATCTCCTATGACAGAAGTTTTCAGAGATGGCAGGTACCCAGAAATAGTGAAAGGATAAGGAGAGATGCCAGGAGTTGGCAGAAATCTACACATCCAATAGGTTATTGCTGATAACTTATAATAGCAGAAACCCAAGTCCTAACCATTCACGCCCCTTGCCATTTTGAGGAGTTAGACATCCACTCAGCATTAACTTGCGGTATCAGCACTACTGTAAAGTGTTTTAGAGCATTGGTATTATTTATGGTCACTAAGGGAAAGGGCAGCTCACCTTGAGCCCCAGAGATGTCATTTAACAGCATAATTACATCCCATCTCTTTTTTGTTGTTGTTGAAGTTTTTTTTATATATATATTTTTTACATCATTTTTCATTTTTGCACAGTGTATACATTTTCATCTTGGTTATATTCCCCATACAATTCCCACCCCCTTTATTTTGACCCTAATCCCTCCTCTCTTCCTCCCTCCTCCCCAGTGTGTCTCTGGTTTACAGTTGCTTGTTACAGCCCATCTCTTGCCCAGAACCTCAGCTAGAAATTTTTCATTTATTAGAATTTTTTTAATTAATAAAAAGTACAGAGACTACTCAACCCCCACTTTCCCCTGTTATTAACATCTCACATTAGTTATTAACTAAAGTTTACATTAGGGCTCGTGCACCCTTTGTGTTTTACATTCTAGGCATTTTGACCAATGTATAATGAATTATGTCTGTCCTTACTGTAGCATACAGAATGGTTTCACTGCCCCCAAAATCCTGTGTTCCACCGATTCGTCCTTTGCCCCTTCACCCCAAACCTGGCAACCACTGATCTTTGCCTTTTTCGGAAAGTCATAGGTTGGAATTCAACTATAGTTTTTAATTTACTGGGTTTGGCTGTTTGTTTTTTTTGTATGTGAGCAATCATAGAAGGTTTGATGACTTGTGGTTTTAACTGATTAAGAATTAGTAGAATCTTATTTTGGATTCCTGTGGAAAATTATTGATAACAGGAATCCAGACTGTTCTGAATAACTAAAGACATAAATGGCAGTAAATCTCACAGCAACCTGTTTTTGGTGATTTTGAACAGTGATGGGTAATAATCTCTGGTGATCTTTCCATTGCAGGGTGGAAGATGTCAATGGATGTGACATTTCTGGGGACTGGCGCAGCATACCCATCCCCAACCCGGGGGGCCTCTGCTCTGGTCCTTCGGTGTGAGGGCGAGTGCTGGCTCTTTGACTGTGGAGAGGGGACTCAGACACAGCTTATGAAAAGCCAACTTAAAGCAGGTCAGTTTACATTCAACTGCCTCATTAAGACTCTCTAGTGCAGCTTCATTTTCTTGGCTTGCCTTGGGCCTTTGCTCAGGTGTCTTGCACTTTAATGCAGAGCCTTGGCAAGACTTGGAACACCCTCAGTCAAATGGCCATGCCCACGGGACTTCATTTATCTATTTACTTTTCACTCTTGTAAATGTTGATAGTAAGGAGTTCTGTTGCCGTAGGGGTGGTGGATGGAGCCGTGTGTATCGGCTTGCCAGATGGACACTGCCCAAGCAAAGGCATGCACACATGCTTACTTCCACCAGAAGGCGTTTGTATCATGAGAGGATACAGAGAGCAGCAGATGCTGGAAGAGGGAGACAGCCCTTCCTACTGGCGGTTATCAGAGTGAACATCTCAGAAAAAGTGACCTGTGGTTTGTGGAAGGAGGAGAAGGAATTCTCTGGTCTGGGGTGAAGGGCATTCCAGCCAGAGGACATGAGCAGCAAAGGCCCCAGCACCAGAGAGACTGAGGAGAATAGTGGTGAAAAACCTTAATGCAAATCTTTTACAGCTTGAGGTAGCAGCCTGACTAAAAGAGAAACTATTGAGTATGGATTCTAGAAATTTGGGTTAGGGCTGTCTACTTTGTATTGAACACCTGTTATTCGTTATCTAAAGCTATATAATAGATTACAAATATTGTGATATTTTCATTTTTTTCTCTCATAGTTTATCTTACAGTTCATAGCTCAGGATGTTCGGGCCTGGCTTACCTGGTTTTCCCACTTCAGGGTCTTACTAGTATGCAATCCCGTTATTAGCATCAGAGGTTCAACTTGAGAAGAATCTGCTTTGGAGCTCACTCAGGATGTTGGCAAATCCTACAGTTGTTGGATTGAGGCCTCCCATGGTGCCTAGTCACATGTGTTTCTGCTTAGTGATAGTTTCCTTACTGCCAGAGAGGGAAAAAGAGACTCACTGGTAAGTCAGCTAGCAAGCAGGAGTGTTAGAACGTAACATAATTACACTGACCCCTGCTGCCCTATTATACTGGTTAGAAGCAGGTCAGAGTCCTACCCAAGCTCAAGGGGAGAGAGTTACAGAAGAATGTGAATGCGAGAGGCAGTGACTGTGGATACCACCTTGAGTCTTATCTACCACAGTACATTTCTCTACTATATCTTATAGCTATTTTACATATGTAAGTAAACAGTTTGTAAAACTAAGCCTGGCCTAAAAGAAAAAAAACAACAAAACAAGTAAGGTAAAATCTAAGGGAACCTTTAGCTTACTAAATTTATACTGATATAAACAAAAAATTCCTGGCCTCAGAACGGAGGATGAGATGATGATCCTGGAACCTGGTGACACTGTCACACTTCAAACTCCCCCAGTGTCAACTTCAGTACACCTTGGAGTCTCTCAGCCTAGTGTGACCTACCATTATTTGATTCATTGAGACCTTTTCATTTTGTGTTACCTTCCGGGGTAATAATATGTTTTGTTTTCATAAGGAAATACTTTTTGATTATCCAAAATATACTGCTTTCAAGTTTCCATGGACCTAACATGCAAGCATCTGATTAACAAGTATAAATTTGCCGTGTTCATTTCTTCAAAAAAATTTTTTAAAAGATTTATTTATTTTTTTGCACAGAGGAACTGAGGTGTAGGCCAGAGGTGTGGAGGTGAAAGGATTCACCAGAGACAGAATTGGGAGCAGAACAGTTAAATTTACTGAAATACACTGCCAAGGGGAGCAGCAGGTGAGATAGGAGAGGCCTGCTGAGGTGCCAGATGTGGGTCAGCTTCCTGGCTGGGGATAAAACTCAGGCCGTAGTGGTGATGGCACTGAGCCTTAACCTACAGGCCACCAGGGAGGCCCCATTTCTTCAAATTTTGAAGATGATCTTTAGTCTTCTCAAGTCTTTTTTTCTGTGAAAAAATTACTTAAAATGTATCACCAAAATATAATTTAAAAAATGATTATAAAATGTATACAAGCTGGGCCTCCCCTGGTGGCACAGGCGATTGAGCGCAGTGAGTGAAGCTGTCTGCAGCCTCTGCAGCACCGGTTTGATCCCTGCTGGCCAGCGAGGGTCCCACATGGTGCACCAGACCTTTCCTGTCTCGCCCGCTGTGCCCCTCAGCAGTGTATTTCGTCAGTCTGCCTGTCCTGTTCCCCACCTCTGTCTCTGGTGAATCCTCTCACCCACCCACGCATCTGGTCTGTACCCTGGTTCTTATATAAATAAATAAATAAATCTTAAAAAACAAATAAAAAAACTTAAAAAAATTTATACAAGGTCTCTGTAAAAATTTAAATAAAGCAGAAAATATAAGAAAAGCCTAAAAAAGCCTAAATATCCTGCCTCATATGTAAATTTTCTGTATGGTAAGGGTGTGTGTGTAGCATAAATGGAATCACACTATACTTAGTGTAACTGTTTTTTCTGACTGCACAATATACATGAGCAATATATTACAGACCTTTTCCTATGACTATAAACAGAACTGCATCATTGTTTACAGGATACTTGATTTTCCACTTTTGTCAAGTGAATGAGAACGCATGCATTTTTCTTTCTTCATCCCATACCGTCCTCTTACCTTTGATGACAGTGGCTGTCATTCCTTTCATTCTGAAATCAAGTTTCTTGAAAAATGAAATGTCTGTTTCCCCGAAGCTGTGATAACTGTGGAAGCAAGTTTTTACCTACTCAATTTGTCTCACTTCTTTGAGCTCACAGGTTGTTTTGATGTTAGGTTTTGGCTTTGTTTTGTAGTAGAAAGGGAGGAGGCTTAGAAAGACTGATTTGGCAGTTTTGAGGTCAACAGGAGATGTGCTCTGCAACCACCTTGTAGTTTTTTTATCTGCAGTGGCCTTGAGTCACTCTCGGGGGTGCCGTGGCAGCCCAGACAAAAGGAAGAAGGAAATAAAGGATTCTAGGAATTTTTAAAAAATGATAAAAAAACAAGTATCAAAAAGAGAAAACAAAAAAGCACATATTGAAGAAACTTCTATAGTGCCTGCTGGGAATCTCAAGGTCTAATATCAGTCTCTTTCCTATCGTCTTCTGCTACAGGGACAAAGGTTTTGTGTAGGACAAAGGTTTAGTTGTAGGACAAAGGAAGACTCCCTTGGAGAACACTTTTGCCTTGATGTCATAGGATAAATCATATTATAATAAACTACTTGTTCTTTTATGGTATCATTAAATGCTTCCTGTTCTTTCATGGTATCAGATGTTTGAAATAGGTGGGCCATGACCTAGTATTGAAAGCCTCTGTTACACTAAAAGTGTGTTCATTGTGATTGTTACTTTAAAAACGCCTTATGGTACATCTTAGAAAAATGCTGATGTGGCTTCCTGCCACATATCATCAGTAAATTCCGTTTACCGTTGGCTAAATCAAGTTACAAGCTAAACCAGTATGTGCTGAATACTCTGGCGTGTTAGTCCAGACTGAAAGGAAGAGATGGGCTTGGGTAATATTACCCATCATCAGAGGGATCCACCCTCTGATCTGCATCCTGGCGCCTAGCGCTCACCTCAGCCCTCTCAGTTCTTGACCTCCGTCCCCCCCTACCTCCCTTTCCTGCCCTATTCTCATTTCTCTTTTTCTCCTCTCTTTCCTCTCCCTCACGCATCCCTCTTTCTTCACCTCCTCTCCCTTCAAACTTCCCCAGACATGCAGCCTCTGACTTGGCTAGTTAATCTCTGTTCAGAGTAGAGAGTCCTTAAAAGGCAGTGTTAGGTTCAGGCACAGGTCCAATCTGTTGGAGTCAGGGGAACTTTTGTTTTGTTGGAATTTCTTATTTGCTATTCTCAGAAGGAGCAGTAGGGGGCAGTGTAGGAGCCAGATGCTTTTGACATTTGAGGGGTCTCCAGTTACCTAAGTGAATTATTTTGGTATGCTTTGTGTGTGTGTGTAAGAGGATCTGTAGGAAAATATTCTCAAAACTGTAACAAGGTAATTTGAAGCTGTTTTATGAAAAAGGTTGTGTCTTTTTAAAACTAGTAAAATAAAGCCTGTCTTTTAGGAATCATGTAGAAAAATGTAAAGAAATAAGCTTAGGATAATAAGTAGAACTCCTAAATGCTTTAAACTGCTTTCTATGTAAACTATTGCGTAATGTTTTAGGTACCTCTGTGTGGGCTTTTCTTTCTGAAAAATTCCCAATTTTATTTCTCTGCCTCAATCAAAAGGGAGAATTACCAAGATCTTCATCACACATCTTCATGGAGACCATTTCTTTGGCCTCCCTGGCCTCCTCTGCACAATTAGCCTGCAGAGTGGCTCCACGGTCACCAAACAGCCTATCGAAATCTTTGGCCCTGCAGGGCTTCGGGACTTTATCTGGCGAACCATGGAACTCTCTCACACAGAGCTGGTCTTCCCTTACGTGGTCCACGAGCTGGTGCCCACAGCAGATCAGTGTCCTCCAGAAGAACTGAAAGAATGCGCACATGTGAATAGAGCGGACAGCTCTCCCAAAGAGGGACAAGGAAGAACCATCCTATTAGACTCAGAAGAAAACTCCTACCTTCTGGTTGATGATGAACAGTTCATTGTAAAAGCATTTCGCCTCTTTCACCGGATTCCCTCCTTTGGGTTTTCAGTCGTCGAAAAGAAACGCCCAGGCAAACTCAATGCACAGAAACTGAAAGACCTTGGTAAGTGGGTTTTTTCCCCTTCTTTCCAATCTAGCTGTTGTTATCGTAATAATTTTCCTGCCTCCCGTGTTTAAAAGTGACATTCTCTTCACTAATTTGCTTTGCCCAAAGTTTGCCTAGGAAAGGAACTTCTTAGGAGCAAAAGATGGTCTTCAGAGTAAAATCCAGTTGTATATTTGAATCCTTCTCCATCTCCCTGCATACACATTCTTAGTCTGTATTTTTGGGTGGGTTTTTTTTTCTTCCTTTTGAAGTATGTTTTCATTAATACCTTTTGACTGAGAATTTTTGCCCTAATTCTTCACCTTGCAACTGCTACTATTTCCTTTAGGGTTTTCCTTCTCTATCGAGGTTGCCTACTTGTTCAACCTTGATTAATTTGGTGTTCAGAACACTGTGCCAGTTTTACATGCCTGGTTAATCACACTTGGAAGTAAGCACAAGAAGATGGGCTGGGGGGCCTCCCCGGTGGCGCAGCGGTTGAGCGCTGGGTTGCGAAGCTGCCCGCGGCCTCTGCGGCTCCGGTTCGATCCCCGGCTGCTCCCCGGCCACCAGAGGAGGGTCCCACATGGCGCGCAGACCTCTCCTGCCGCCCGCTGCTCCCCTCAGCAGTGTACTTCGGTCCTTCTGCCTGCTCTGCTCCCCGCTCTGGCTCTGGTGAATTCTCTCACCCTCCGGCGCTTCTGACTGTGCCCAGTGCTTGTATAAACAAATAAATAAATCTTTAAAAAAAAAAAAAAAAAAGAGGAAAAAAAAAAAAGAAGAAGATGGGCTGGGGGCCCACCCAAGGCTATATACCTCCTCTGTGCCAGGCCGTTGTACGTAAGGGGTCTTTAGTATCTCTAAAGTCGCTGCCCAGATCCATTGTACCTCCAGCATCACCACCTTGCTTGGCATGGTGTCGTGGCAGGATGGCCACAGAACAGGTTTTCTCTGATCCTATGCAGATGGGGTAAAGGAGAGTCCTGGAGCCCTTGGTGGGTTTCTCAGGTTTTTATTGAACTTTTACATGTACAGCAGCAACCAGGTACACCGCAGGCAGGGGTGCCATGGGGCCGGGAGTAAGTAAGGCCTCCAAGCCCCCGGCAGGACTCCAACCCCTGGCAAGTCTTCACCCTGGGCTTCTTTTTCCCCTTCTCTCTCCTGCCTCTGCTTCTCTTGGCCAGCATCTCACTAGGGAGCCATGGCCCAGAAGTAAATAACACATCTTACAACAATGTAACAATTGCAGGTACCCATCAGGCAGGGCAATCCTAATGGTGGGAGGCCAGAAAAGCCTGAAAACCATTTACCCTACCCATGGCTGTGGCAGAGCCTGTAAAAAGCACATGGTATTCTTTGCATGTGTGTTTCTCTGTGGAGTCTCTTTTTTGCTGCTTCAATGAATACGAAATGCTAAATAATGAGGGAAAGTGACTTAAGCCAAAGTTTTTTTTAATTATTGAAAAACTTGTGGAAATACTGTTACATTTGGAAACTTAAACACAATCTGTGTTGGAATTAGTGCTCACACCATATTGTCCAGGTATTTGCAAGTGTTGTCCAAAGTGGTGATCAGGCATTATTCTAGATTTACATGCAATTTAAGCCAGTTTGGTAAATATGGAACTGTCCCCATCTACTAGGAAGATTGATTATGTATAATTACCTGAGATTCTTCATGATCTTGTGATCCAGACAATCCCTTCCAACAGTTTTTTACTGTTTATAGGTAACTAGTCATTATTTAAAGACTCTTTAATTTTACATAAAGATGAGCTTGTTAAATAAAGCAGCTCAGAAAACAGTGTTTCCATGCACAGCAGAGAGTCAAGACTGTTATCCTGACTATAATAAGGTCTTAGTGAGATATAGGAGACATAGCATTTAAATCCCATCTGATACGTGTACTTGTGAAATGTAGTGCTAGGGTATTGCTAATATTAATAGCCAACAATGGACTTTTAAAAATGTATAAATATTCTAATTTTCCACAAGTAGTAAAATATTTATAACAATTCTGAAAAGAATTGACTGCCTTTTCCATTTGCTATTTGCTGTACTATTAAAACAGACTCTCTGAAAGTCATAAATTCCATCCACATGATGTGGTGTTATCTGCCTCCATCATTAGGTGTTCCGCCAGGTCCTGCCTATGGGAAGCTGAAAAATGGAATTTCTGTTGTTCTGGAAAATGGAGTTACAATTTCTCCCCAAGATGTCTTAAAAAAGCCTATTGTTGGAAGGAAAATCTGCATTTTGGGGGACTGTTCCGGGATCGTGGGTGATGGAGGAATGAAGCTGTGCTCTGAAGCAGACCTGTTGATCCATGAAGCGACCTTGGATGACACCCAGATGGACAAAGCCAAGGAGCACGGCCACAGCACACCACAGATGGCTGCAGCGTTTGCAAAGTTGTGCCAAGCAAAGAGGCTGGTTCTGACTCACTTCAGTCAGAGGTACAAACCAATTGCCTTGGCCAAAGAAGGAGAAACAGATGGGACTGTAGAACTGAAAAGGCAAGCTGAATCGGTGTTAGATCTGCAGGAAGTAACTCTAGCAGAAGATTTTATGGTGATTGGCATCCCAATCAAGAAATGAAACCAGAATTCCTGACTGTGTACTGATCTATCGGTGAATATGTTTCTGAACCAACAGTCCAGTTTGTTGTTATTTTGGATCTAAAATTATTGGGGCCTAATAATCCTAAATCGGATGGAGCTGCACTGTTGAAGTGGCTCATTAGTGAGAGGGAGCAAGCTTTTTGATAATAAATCATATTTTAAAAAACCCAGCATCCTTCTTAAAATTCAAATTTGACAAAATGATAGCTTATTCAGGTATACTTCTTGATTTGTGGCTGCTGCTTCAGATATAAGCCAAAGCCAATACCCGATGAGATTCTGGACTTAGCTTCTGCCCGGTATTGTTGCTGTTCTTGGCAAAGTACACAGGGCTTGGCCCTCTTGGCTAAAAGTGGTATTTTGGCAGTTTGTGTTAAATCTGTTCATGTTATTAACAGGATGGGGAGAAATGTAATGAGACATCAGACATGCAGGATTGAAACTGGCATGTTAAATCTTGAATTTTTGCTGGAATATTGAATGCAAGGTTGAGCTAGGTATTTTATCTTTTAATATTTTATTGAACTTTATTGTTTACTTTAAATCTGTCACTATCAGCTGCTGCCACTCCCCTAGAGTAAGTTTTGGAATTGTGGGTATGTTTTCTTGTCACAGTGATGGGGGTTGGGAGCATGCTGGTCTTTAGTCAGCAGGGGCCAGGAATGCTAGATCCTACAAGGTCTGGGTCCTTCCTGTAAAATGAAGAGTTGTCTCATCCCAAGGTGCACAGTCCAGGTCTGTTGAGAAACACAGCAAGTTAAAAGTTAATTGCCCAATGTGAGTTTACTTTTATAAAAATTAGTGACATAATGAGTTCAACTACTAGATAAGTCAAATTCCACAAATCCTAAAGAACTAGTTAAGTGAATATATTGGAATTGGAATGTCATATCAAGTATGTTATTTGACAGAAATGACCCATGAGCTGGAGCTTGTGAATCTACAGGCGTAAAGAAATACCTGTTAAACTGAGCTCTAGTTTACATGTCCCTATTAATAATTCTTTGAGTACACTTATTAAATGTTCCTTCTCAAATACCTGTTCCTTCTCAGCTGCCTTTCACTTCCATTCTGTCTGCCATGGGGTATCTCTGACTCATTTGCCCCATGATATTCCTCAAAATGCATTGCATGGAACTAGTTCAAGTTCTGATTCCTTCCAAAGGGTTTCCTAATCAAGGCAATTTGGGAACCCCTGAATACTGTGTGTTCCTCTGGGAACATTCTAGTGCCGTCAACACTATAAACAGTGCTGATTGAATGGTCATAACTCAGCTCTTGGTGCCAGAAAGACCTTTCAGAGCCCTATTCTGTACTTTATGATGGTACCTGTGTGGTCGGGAACAGATTACTTACTCTCTCTGAGCTTCAGCTTGCTCATCTCTAAAATGGACTGTTGTGAAGATGAGATGAGACAATACCTGCAAGGAGCAAGTTCATTGCTTAAAGGCATTGAGAAGCCCTACAGCACAGAGACCTTTGACTCCCTTTCTTGGTCCTATTTATTAATATCTGAAGAACTTATAGAGTTTTATAGGACACATATTTAGAAACATCGTTATGGTGTATACTATTAAATTCCTTTGGATTCTGAGACTTTTCTGGTAAATAATTTTAATACCTAGATGATTCTAGAGTCTAGCGGTGGTCAAGATGGCTCCTGTCACTCAAGATATCAGTTGTTCTGAAGCCGTTCTAGAATGGTCTGATGCTGCCTGCTGTGTTCTAGGATCTTGGTCCCCAAAGTACCAAAGTTTAACCAGACCTAGCGTATGTATTTTGATTTCAATTCAATCAGACAATGATTAAATATCTATTTTATGCCCAAACTGTATAAGAGACTGGTAAGTATTAGTACTTATGCATGTTAAGGATAAAGACTTCATCTTAATAACATCTACATTTTTGGAAATGCCCCCATAGTAAGTGCTCAGAATGTTAATCGAACAAAATGAGCCTTTGATATTGTGAAACTTTAGGACCTAAAGTTTAAGATCTAAAAAATTTAAACTACCTAGTTGGTGGTGCTCCATTCACTGAGTGCCAACTAAAGTGCCATCCTTTATTGTGTTGGGATATGTAAATAAATATAAGACAAAATTCCAGGCACAAGCACAGTCTGAGTGGTAGAGACCAATAAGTAAATACACAGTTGCTTTGAATGTTACTTTAATTGTATAGCATGGTACAAAGTTTTCCTTTCCCTGAGCATTGCTGGTAGCTGCCTTGAGCTGTGCCCTTAGATTCAGGCTCTATTAATATATGTGGACTAAGCCCTCAGAGACGATGGGAATGTGGGAACAAATTGATACGTTGGATCAAGTGTGCTGTATCGGTCCTTGGTGACATTCTTTCTTGGACTCGCTTCTGACCTAGAATTTGTTCTTAATGGCAGGACACTCTAAGAATTTGTAGAGCTAAAATTAAGAATGAAGCTTATGTTGGACTTCCCAGAGCTTATAATCTGCTCGTGGTTGTATGAATCAGAGGAGATTAGAATATGTGTTACTTGATTACTGAATTCTCTTTTTGCCAAGGAATATCTTGGAACACTAAGAAATGATATTCCTTAGCACATCTCAAAATGATTGTATTTTTTACCGGCACAAGTTATTAAGGTAATGAATTCCATAGCTGCACTTGTTACCTAGTATCTTCTTTGTCCTAAACTGATTCATTTGTCAGGCATCCAAAGATACCTACTTATTTTAAATAAAATATTAGGACTTTCCACTTCTCAAAAAGATGTTTAGACTTGCTCAAATAGACCCTAAATCATCCTCTGTTTTCTAATATTTATGCTTTAGTAATATACTTTCAAATGAAATTTTAATCATAAAATTAGTGTGTGCTTCTTAGAGAATTTTCTTTAAAGATTCAAGACAATTAGAGCTACTGATCCAGTGGCCCTCTATTTTGACGTGTGAGTCAATAATGCTCAAGGTAGTGCGTAAGTGGACAAGAGTGCTTATGGAGACAGATGTCCAGGCTCTGCTTCCAAGGACTCTGAGTCTGTCTCCAGTGGAACCCAAGGATTTGCATCTTAACACGTTATCAAGGCTATTCAGAAGTATGAGTGCTGGATCACGCTGGGAGTTCGTTCATGTACCTAAAACAATGGGATGTGTATAGATATTTTATATATGTTTAAACATGTCTAATGTCAGTGTATATTGTACTCAAGCAGACATGCCTATTTTTACATAGAGGTTAACCTCCTCAACTGTTTTTCTCATTCATTTTTCCATGGCATTAAATGTTCTTCATGTATTTTAATGATCTTCTTATTACTTCATTCTAGGAGGTGATAATATTTAACCATTTTCCTACTTTCAGGGGCATTTTCAATTATTGTGAATAATACTATGATGAATAATCATGGATGTTAAACTTTGTATTTGAGTCTATTTCCTTAGGATTGATTTATCTGAAAGTCAAATATCTGATTTTTTTTTTTTTTACACTTGACTGGAATTGCCCATGTGTTTTCTAGCTCACACTCTGCAGCAGGAGGTAGGCCCCTTCTGCTGCCCCATCCAGCCAAAGACCTTTCTAACACTTTACTTTCAAGGCACTTCTTTTGCAAAGATTATTTTTGCCTCCTACTGCAAATAATTCTATTGTGTCTTTTAATTTGCATAGATAATTAAACTGTGATTTCCCTGAATACTCCCAGACCAGCTTTAAAACCTGGCAGTTTTTTTCTTTTAATGGGGTAAAAATCCGTACTGTTTCAAGTATGCTCATGACAGATATGCAGTGAAGGTTCTTTTGTCTTCACAAAGGCATGAATTTATAGTGAAATGTACTGGTTCTGTCCTTATTGATTGATGGATTTTTCGGGTACTGAATGAGTCAGAGCATTTTTTTATATATATATGGGAAGGATAAAGAAGAAACGCTGGCAGTTCTTTGAATGTTCACTCTTTGTAGGATAAGAATAAAGTTTAAGGGGGTGGGGTGGGATGTGAGGCAAAAATCAAGAAATACCTGCTTTCCAAAGTAGAAAGTAATATTTAAAACTGAAAAATAATAGTGCTTTAGGCATATTGTGTTTGAAAAAAAAGTGGAAGCCGTAGGGAGTGAACACCAGGGAGAGTTACCAGTGGAGGAGGGGACCCTAGTGGAAGGGGCGAAGAGAAAGGAGAGGGATGGCCGGGGGATTCTGCTTGGAACCCTCATCTGCTGGACATATTTGATATTTTTAACGGTGTGTTTTTCTTCTTAGTTAAAAACTGAAAGCAGGTGAGCACCTGTTCTGGACCATCCTGTCCATTGCTGTCTACACGTGGGCACTCCAGGCAGATGACAATTCCTCTCATGGCTTCTTAACTTTCCCCACTGTTCTCCATACAGCAAGGTGATTTTTTACAAAATGCACATTTTTTTCAAAATGCACTACTTGAACATTTTTTTTCAAGATTTATTCATTTATTTATAAAGAACTGGGGTACGGGCCAGATGCGCGGGAGGGTGAGAGCATTCACCAGAGACAGAGTGGGGAACAGAACAGGCAGACTGACAAATTACACTGCTGAGGGGAGCAGCGGGCGAGACAGGAGAGGTCTGTCGTGCCATGTGGGACCCTCGCTGCCTGGCCGGGATCAAGGGGGCACTGCAGAGGCCGCAGACAGCTTCACAGCGCTGTGCTCAACCGCCTGCGCCACCAGGGGAGGCCCTACTTGAACATTTTTAATGACCATGCCTAACCCACCTTTCCAACCTAATCTTACTCCACAATGCCACTCATTTTGGGGACCCAGCCACATGGGCCTTCTTTTCATCCTTTGTCAGGTTTCCATTGCAGCAGCCATTGCTCCCTTGGCCTGGAATGTGCTTTCTCCTTTCCCCTGCTGAGCCAGATCACAACTCTGGAGTTACATCCTCATGATGCCTTCCTAAATATTCCCACTAGGTCACTCCTGTGCTTGTTACTTCATGTTTTCACTTGCTTGTGTGAGCGTGTGATCGTTGCTTCTCATTTCTTCTAACACTGTAAGCTGCATAAGAGCAGAGCTGGGCCTGCTTTTATTTCCCTTTGTACCTGGCTCCTAGCTCAGTGCCTGAAACATACCAGACACTTGATAAATAGTGGTGACTGGCTTAATTTTCCTTGCCATCTTGCTATTATGCTAAGATCCCTTCTTCTTCTAAGGATTGTTCTGATTAATATTATAAACAAACAAAAATCCCCACCCTTGATTATAAACTAAAACTAAGGGAGGAAAAAGAAAACGGTTGCCTGTGAATTTAATGAGGCAAATTCTTAGACATGCAGACAGATACCCAGAGTCAGGTAAAGGACAGGGAAAAGGGTTTCTCTGCCTAAGAAATCAGGACATTGGCTTTTGTTAAGGTCAGAACAAACTTAATAAAAAATAAGGGGAGAAGGCCAAGCCCATGCAGGAGTCTGGAGTCCCATGCAAGGTGGGGAAATAGTGGGAAAATCTTAAGAACACCAATAGTGGATATTTTTTATTGTTGCTTTATTGCTTGGAAATAAATCCCCCCAATGCCCCCAGACTTTCTTTGAAGTATGCTAGACACAGAGGATTTGGGGATCCCTCCTCTAACCTGCATACCACCAAATGAGACCAAGTTCCAAGAGAACAAATTCTGTGACAGGGTTGTCCTAGATAGAAAGAGGGCAGGAAGGCGGAAAAGTGAGACAACCTGAGACTAATACAGTTGACAAGAGCTGGAATCAGAGGTGACAAGGAATTTTCAGAAAGTTGTAAATAGAGCATTGACCTTTACATTATTCGCTGAGTGGAGAGGTAGGAGAAGGGTGAAGCTACTTCATGTATATCTTAAAGGACGTGGTAACTCTAGTTGACATCTGGACACAGGTATTTCTGCATCCTCAGCAGACATAGACGAAGGTTTAAAAAGCTGTCATATGCAGAATAATAAGGAAGTTGAGGAGAGTGCCTAAGTTTATCCAAAGTAAAAAATATTTCCACTCCTAAATAAAGGTGGCAGAGAAACACTGTTGCTCAGATGTCAGCATGCTAATTATATACTCAGCAGACATGGCAGGTACAAAGATCAAATTCACCCACGAAAAAGAAGTAAAAGGGGAAAGGCGAGGGATCAAGTTTCCCAGCTGTATAAATCCCACTGTAACTGCCAGAAACTGTTCAGGCAGCCTCTGGGAGAATTAAGCAACATTTAGTTCACTGTCACCAAGGGAAGCCAAGGTTATTTTGTCTAGGTTATTCTCTACATTGCTGTGGCTGCCAATGATCACAGGCTTATCCCAATGAGACCATATCTCTCTCAAACATCCTGGACTGGAGCTGACCTTGTAGAAGTACCCATGTCTGAGTCAGCACCTCAGATGCTGATCCTAACTTGCTTACAGAGGGCTTTGCCATTGAATACATCTTCACATAGTTAGTAGATACTGCAACGTGATTGATTTCCTCCTCCACATGCCTATCTAAGAGGCCTACTTACCGCAGTACTCTTCAAACTAGGGTATTTGTGCCACCAGGAATATGCCATGACTTTTCTAACAGTAAATAGGCATACTTTCATATAACATATCCTTTTATATAAAATATTTCCTAAAATTGATTTTCTAGACAACTAGTTTAGGCAATGTGTCTGTACAATGCTCCAGGGTGAAATTTTGGGGGAACCAAAGTAAGGGATAGTTGAAATATTGCTGGGGATTGAAATATTTGGTAACATTGTTTTACAAGTTAGGTAGTTTCCAATTTGTTACTTTGAAAAAAATTAAATCCAGAATCTAATCTGTGCAATGACAGGTTTTTAGAAGTTTTGAGATATAACTCACATACCATAAAATTCAATTTGGTTTTGGTCTTTTTTTACATTTGTTTGAACTTTGCCCTATTCTTAGTCAAGAAGGAGAGGTTCAGGACATGGGAATAAACTGCTTACAGTGAGAAGTCATAGAGGACTATACCCCAAAACTCTTTTTTTGGAACCAGAAAGAGCTTATCTTTGGCCACCTTCACACGGACACTCACTGCATCTAGGTACACAGCCACTCCTTCATTCAGCTAGAGAGGTGGTTCCCAGCCACAGGACCCAGATTCCATTAGATTTCACTTTATGGGTAATGAAGGTCTGATCTTCCCTGAATAGTTCAGATGTGAGGGGAAGTTTTGACTGAGCCATTAGGTGAGAAAGACATAGGCATTGATAGTAGTTTGAATTCTATCCCTCTTGGGTCTTCTAGGCAGATCTCAGAGAGATATAATTCTCCAAAATGTAATAAAGTATCCTGCAGGTAAAGGTTTACAATAAAGTGACCCAACATGCAAAAAATAAAAATTCATTTGTCTTCATATATTCACAGAGCTGTGTGACCATCACTGCTGTCAATTTTAGAACATTTTCATTATCTCCATAACCCTTTGGCAATCATGCCCACTTTCTTCCCAAATTCCCTAATCCTAAATTGTAATCTACCACTCATTTACTCTCTAACCACTAATCTACTTTCTGATTGTATAGATTTACCTATTCTAGATATTTTAGATAAACTGAATTGCACAATATGTGGTCCTTTGGGACTGCCTCCTTTCATTTTGCATAGTATTTTGAGATCTATCCATGTTATAACTTATATCAGTACTTCATCCCTTTGTATGGCAAAATAGTATTCCCATGTGTGGACACCACATTTGTTGCCATTCAACAGTTGGCCCAAAGATATATTAAAAATAGGTTTTATGATAGACCTATAATAGCAATGAAAAGGAGATCTCCCTACAGATCTCACAAATATTAAAAAGTTAAAGAAGATATTATAAATAACTTTAATTTTGAATAAAATTACTAAATTCCCTTCCTTTAGAAAACATCATTTTCCAGAATGGACATGAGAAGAAGTACTGGACTGTTCAGACTTCCTATTTATTAAAGAAGTTGAGTTTGTGATTAAAAGCCTTCTTATAAAAATATCTTCAAGCCCACATGGTTTTGCTAGTGATTCATTCTAAACAATTAAGGAATACACTTTCCTTTCACAAATACTTCCAAAAAAAACAATTAAAAAAAAAAAGAGGGAACACTTCCCAACCTTATGAGGTCAGCATAACCTTGATGCCAAAACTTAAGTACATTAAAAGAAAGGAAAATTACAGGCAAATCCCTCTCCTAAAAACCCTAAAGAGAATAATTGGCTAATTGAATTCAGTGACATATAAAAAGAATAAGACATCTTGATAGGGGGAGTTTGCTCTAGGAATGGAAGGCTTGTTTAATATTTGAAAATCAATATTACCACATTAACAAAATAAATGGGAGAAAAGTGTAAGATGATCTCTATAGATACAAACTTTTTTTTGATAACATTTAATACTCATTTTGTGACAAGAACTCTTAGCATACTAAGAGTAGGATGGAAAGCCCTTAAATAATATCTGCAAAAAAATACAGTATTACCCTTAGTAATAAAATATTGAAAGCTTTCCCCCTTGGATGAGAAACAGGCAAAGATGCTCACTTCATACCATTTCTATACATTACTGCTTTGAAGGTCTTGGCCACAACAAGGCAAGAAAAATGAATGAAATGTTTAAAAATTGGAAGGAAGAAATAAAACTGTCACTGCTAGCAGATATGATAATGTACATAGGAAATCCAAAAGAATAAGCAGAAAAACCTGTTAGATTACTAAGTAAATTAGGAAGACACTGATATTAATCAATATAAAGAAAATTTGCTTCTATATTCTAACAACAGACTAAAATTTTTTAAATAACAATTTACGGGATCATCAGAAAACTAGGAATTAATTTAATGAAAGGTGTGCAAAACCTCTCCGCTGAAAACCACAAACCATTATTGAGATATGGTAAAGAAGACTCAAGGATACAGAAAAGTTACATTTCATGTTAATGAATTGAAGATTCACTACAGCAATTTATCTGTGGTTTCAAAGCAATGCTAATTGAAAACTCTGAAGGTTTATGTAGATACAAGGAAATTGAGAAGCTATTTTAAAGTTTATGCAGTCATGCAAAGGACCAAGAATCACCAGGAGAGCCTTAAAACAGAGCAAACTAGAAGATTTACACTACTAGATATCAACACTAATAGGAAAACTGCAATCATTAAACTACCATATGATATTGTTGCAAGGAGGGCAAATAAATAGAGTAGAACAGTCTGGGAAGAAGCCCACACACATATATAACTTTATTTATGACAAATGTGAAATTCCTATGCAATGGGAAAAGGACAGTCTTTTCAATAAATGGAGGGCCAAACAGACATCCATAATGAAAAATAATTATTTTGGTTCCTATCTTAAAAAATACACAAAAATAAATTTCAGATGGATTTTATATGTAAATGTGAAGATAACATAGAATAGCTCCTTAACTTGGGGTAGGCAAAGATTTCTTATACAGAATAAACAGACAAGCTATAAGGGAAAGACTGTTAAATTATGTATTGAAATTAGGAACTTTTTTACATAAAAGATAGTGCCAAGTGTAAAAAGGCAAACCACAGAGTGGTAGAATGTCTATGTAATACCTGTAGCTGATAAAGGGTTTGGATCCAGAATTTAACAGTAGCTATCTATTGCTATTTAAAAAATTGCCCCCAAACATTATGATTTATGATCTCAGTCTTGGTAGGTAAGGGTTCTGGATACACCTTAGCTAGGTACTTCTGATTCTCATAAGGTTGAAGTCAGGATGCCAGCTAGGGTTGTGGATTCATCTGATGTTTCAACTGAGGGGTCTATGTCAAGTTTTCGTATTGTTGCCAGACTTTGGACCCTTGCCACAGAGACCTCTGTCCTGGGCTGCCTCAATGACATGGCAGCTGGTTTATGACAGAGCAAGCAAATTGTGAGAAAGTGAGCACCCAAAACAGGAGTCAGTCTTTCTGTATCTTACCCTTGAAGGTGACATCCCATTGATTTTTCTACTTTCTATTCAAAGCAAATCAATAAATCCAGCTCATAATCAAGGGAAAGAGGTTATACAAGGAATAAATACCGGGAGGCAGGGGTCCTTGGGGATCCTATTCTCTTTATCCTGCTTTACTTCTCTCCCAAAATGTGTATCCCTTGCTGACTTAGTATACATTTACATTCATTTGTTGATTCTCTGTGCCCCTCTTTGAGAATGGAAAATTCAGGAGAACGGGGACTTTGTTTTGTTTCCGATAGGTGTCCCCAGCGTCTGGGCCAGTGCCTGGACCCTATTACACTCACAAAATAGTTGTAGAATGAATATCAGTGGAATTTTGGAGAAATCTTGTCATTTTTCAACATGGGTCAATTTACTTGACACCTCCAATCAGTATCCTCAATCACCATTACTTAGGACCTTGTGGATGTGTGGTGGCTATTGTTTTTGACTACCTGGCATGCTTATGCATCATCCCCTCTCTCACTCCCACATTTAGCTTCTGCTCAGAGGCTCACTTCCCAGACTCCAGGTACAAGCACACATTAAGCTTGGCCAGTGCAAGTGCTCCAGTGACTGGATAGAGTGAGCCCGTGACCTAAACTCTGCCAATTCATGCTTCCCTCATGATCATTCTCACTGGAGATGGCGAGGAGGCAGTGCCTGGACTGTTGTGTGACATAGGTCAGCCTGAAGGCTGTGAATTTAGGGTGCTAGGGCAGAGGAAGAGATGGGTTGAAAGAAAGGGAGTACCAGCGTGATAGAGCCTCAGATCCAGCCTCCAGAGTTCTGCTGCTTCTATAGCTCTTGTTCTTCCTCTTCCTCCAACCCAGGGCTCCTCCAGCATCCTTCCGACTCATCTCTTTCTGCTGTAACAAATGCCAGTTGGGCTTCTGTCACTTGCAATTAAATCTCCTCGCAGACACTGGCTGGTTGCTGAGGATGCAAAGATGATTTGGACACTATCCTTGATTTTAAGGAGCTTATAGTCTGCAGGAAAAGACAAAGAGGAAAAAATACTTGCAAGGCAGTAATGAACTAATGTAATGGGCCTGGGACTGGTCAGAATTCAAGGTTCTGATATATCATTCACAGTATTAGTGAGTTTCTTTAAGTTCTTCTGAGGATTTTATAGTCACAGTACCCAAAATAACATTGCCCTTGATAAAATCAATAAACACGAACTGTGCACCTACTATGTGCAGGCCTTAGTGTTCAACACTACAATACAGACCTATAGAGCATTCTCAGAGGGGTAGATTTACTTAAAAAATAATAAATATATGGCACATATGAAATGAAGTCAAAGGACAGTCTGTTTCTTCCTGTTTGTATCTTACTAGAAGAGCAGTTTAGTGTGGTGGCTGAGAGCATGGGCTTTAGAATCTCAGCTCTCTCACTAACCAGGTGGCCTTGGGTCGTTACTTAATCTCTGTGAGATTCAGTGCCCTCTTCTGTAAACTGGATAATGGAACACTAACAATCTCACAGGGTTGTTGTGAAGATTAAATGAATTGGTATGAGTAAAACACTTAGAACAGTGTGTGATGCATAGTAAATCCTCGATAAATGCTAGCACAAAATACCATGTCTAGATTCTTTAGATTATAAATTCCCCCATTAACAGGAGATCTTGATTTCTCTGTAGTGCAGCTGACATGTAGAGACCACTCTAGGTTTTCACTTGCTTGGCTTGGCTGTATTAATTTATTAGCAGATGCAGGCATTGTCTTACTTGCTGGTTTCTCCATCTGCTCTAAATTTAGTACTAAATAAAGACAGTTGTGGGGGTGGAGGAGGTTTTAGCAATCTCTGGTTCAAATCCATTTGGTTTTTTGTTTTGTTTGAAAGCTGTAATCTAGAAAGAGCTTGGAAGCATCTGCTGAAGACCATTTTTAGGCATGTTTTGCAGAAATTCGTAGCGTTTATTTACATTGTTATGTGTCAACCATTTGCATATAGTAACTGATGTTCCAAATATGATGCTACTCTATATGTGAGCATGAATAATTTCTAACTCATTATAATGTATAGATATTAAATAAATTGATTTATGAGAATAAATTTACCTTTTCAATCTTGATAAGTAGACCAGTCACAACCCCAGAGTCCCAGGTTTGAATAAAGATATATGAATAGGGTATCATGGTTATACCTTACATTTGTGCAAGGCATACTAGTATCTTACATTTGTATACTTTGCTTAATGCTTATAACCACTGAGTGAAGTAGGTAGCTAAGGAGTATCATGAGTTCTATTTTATAGATGAAGAAATTAGAATCAAATGCTAACTGATTTGCTTAATTACTCTAAATGGTAGTAATTGGCAGAGTCATATATTCAGGTTTCAGACTACTTAGCCAGTGCTCTCTCCACTCCATTAGAGAAGAGGAAAATTAGGAATTCCTATATTCTTCCACCAAGGCCCTGAGGGTACTTGCCAATGATGGTCTATGTGTGAGCTCTCAGCAATGGCCAGGACTACTTTGGTCAATCCCACTTTGTAAATACTCTTGGCCCAAACTCCTGGTCATGGTGAATCATACCAGGGAAATATTGTAGATAATAGTATTTAACTGCACTTATATCTAGAACTGAGAAACTTTGGAATAGAAAGATCACAAACAACTGTTGATGAAATAACTTGAATAATGGGAGGGAGAATTTTCTAGTTAACACTCAACTTCTTTGCTCCTCACTTCAATCTAAAGATGCCTCTAAAATTCCACATAATGTGGAAGCAGAAGGTATTTTGTAAATTGAATTTTAAACAAAAACAATCATTTCTTATAGAGTTTTCAGAGTTTGTTTTCACTGGAAGAGAGCAACCATCCCAGAATTTCTTGAAGGATGGAGAAGGATTAAAAAGTAGGTCTCACTCATAGCAGGAACCTAGAGAACTTAAATAAGGGACCAGGAAAATGAATAACTATAAGAAAGTGAAAATCAAAATCAACAAAAAACTATGAACCAGAGACAGTTTTGGGGGAGTGGGGGGCGGGAGGGGAGGGATTGGGGTCAGAATGGGGGGGTTGTAAATGTATGGGGAATAAAAAATAAAATTATTTAAAAAAAAAAGTAGAAGCTTGAACTGGAACTTTTAGTTGTTGAGGACTGACTCTATGGCTGAGACATAAAACATTTACAAATACATATATGTTTATACAGGAGTTAACATGAATGGTAGAGAGAGAATTACTAAAATCTCTATGTAATATGTATATAAATTCTGTCCAGACAAGTGTAAACTGACATAGACAAGTATAAAGCATTTGGTGCTGGACATAGAAATAGGTGAGGAGAAAGTCAGACAATGTAAAGGACTCATTCCACATATCACCTCAGTATGATAGTTAGGAGTTTATATTTCAAGGGACTGAAAACCAGTTGAATGAGCTTGAACAATAATAGAACTGGTTGATTTCCCTTAAGTCAAAAGAACAGGAAGGATGCCAATAGCATATGCAACTGGAACCAGATTTCAAAGGATATCAGGCTTTCCTCCCTTCTCCTTCAGACTTGTAACTCTGTCCCACTCTGTTTATTCTCCTCTTTTCCGCTGTTGATGGACTTCCTTCATGCAGTGAGAGAAGATAGCTACTCGCAATGGCAGGCTGATGCCCCATGCTTACATAATAATCCTGGCCCCCCAAAACAACTTGGCTTCCATGTGTAAATGCCCAGAGAATTGTGATAAGCCAATGTGATTCCTATGTTCAGCTATGGACCAGTTTCAATCTCTGGAGCAAATGTGTGCCAGGATTGGTCACTCCTGGGTGACCACATTCAAAGTCAAAGCAGATGGAGTCTGTTAACAGAAAAGTAATGTTGACTGGGCTATCACAGTCCATGACAGTGATAGTTCCCAAATCTATCTGAAGACAAAAATCTCCTAGACACTTATTAAAAAAAAAAAAACAAGATTTCTGGGCTCTCCACTTAAACCTACGGAATCAGAATTTAAGGGGGAAAGGATGGTGATTTGTATGTTTAACAAACACATCAAGTGTATTAGTGTCCCATTGCTGCTATAACAAATTACTAACAACTTGGGCCTCCCCGGTGGCGCAGCGGTTGAGCGCTGGGCTGCAAAGCTACCCACAGCCTCTGCAGCACGGGTTCAATCCCCGGCTGCTCCCCGGCCAACGGAGGAGGGTCCCACATGGCGCGCAGACTTCTCCTGCCGCCCGCTGCTCCCCTCAGCAGTGTACCTCAGTCTGCCTGCTTTGCTCCCCGCTCTGGCTCTGGTGAATTCTCTCACCCTCCCGCGCTTCTGACTGTATCCAGTGCTTGTGTAAATAAATAAAAATAAATCTTTAAAAAAAAAATTACTAACAACTTGACATGAATTTGTTATAGTTCTAGGAAACAGAAGTCCAAATTCACTTTCACTGGGCTGATGACAGGACTGATTTCTTCTTGAAACTGTCAGGGAAGGGCCTTCCTGGTGGTGTAAGGGGTTAAGCACCGCACTATGAAGCAATCTGCAGCCTCTGCAGCATGAGTTCAATCCCCAGCCAGCCAGGGAGCAAACCACACGGCACAGCAGACCTCTCTCTCCTGTCTTGCCTGCTGCTCCCCTCAGCAGTGTATTTCGGTCAATCTGCCTGTTCTGTTTCCCACTCTGTCTCTGGTGAGTCCTCTCACCCTCCGCACCTCTGGCGTGTACCCCAGCACTTGTGTGCATAAATAAATAAATCTTTGAGAAAAAAGGAGAAACTGTCAGGGAAGAATTCATTTATTTGCCCTTTCCAGCTACCAGTGGCTGCCTGTATTCTTTGTGTTGTGACTCCTTCCTCCACCTTCAAAGTGCATCACTCCAATCTCTGCTTCCAATATCACATAATTTTCTCATCTATCTCTGACTTCTCCTGTGTCCCTCTCATGACCACCGTGATTACATCAGGCCCACGCAGAAAGTCCAGTATCCCTTCCTTAACATCTACAATTTGATCAGTTGGGGTATAAGCCAGAGGTGCAGTGGGAGTGAGAGGAGTCCCCAGAGACAGAGTGGGGAGCAGAACAGGCAGATCTGCTACAATACAGCGGGTGAGTCAGAAGAGGTGTGCTGCGCCATGTGGGTCAACTCCCTGGCTAGGGATTGAACTTGTGCTGCAGTGGCTGCTGATAGCTTCATAGTGCTAAGACTTAACCCCTTGCGCCACCAGGAAGGCCCTTAAACCATTTTAGTATATAATATTTACAAGTTCCAGCTACTGGGTCATGGACATATTCAACCATTAGTCAGCCTCCCACACCGGGTAATTCTTAACAGGCGATTTTGAGAAACACCATTCAGAATGGTAAGTTCTCTCTAGAATTGCAACATAAATATTCCAAACTCTGAATATTATTTTACCCATTTATAGATGCCCAAAGTGGATGGCCCTACCACTATGTTTTTGTAGATATCAACAATTGAGTCCATTGTATTGTTGTGTGATATACTAACACAACCTGTTAATATATTCACATACTAACACTAACCTGTTAATATGTTAGTATAACATTTGGGTTATTTCCAGTATTTGGTTTTTCTGAATGAACATTTGTGTACAAGTCTTGGTGAAGACATCTGTTTTCACTTTCAGGGGGTTCTCAAAATGATTGTACCATTTAACACTCCTACTAGTATTCCAGGTGCTCCACATTCTTGCCAACATTTGTACAGCCAATCTCTTCTAGAAGGCACAAAAAAGTTATGGTTTTAATTTGCATGTCACCAAATGACTGTTGCTATTGAACCTCTTTTTACATGTGTGTTCAGCCATTTCTATGTCTTCTTCAGGCATTTCTTTTTCTTTTTACTATTTCACTCCATCATGTATTTGTGATTTTATTTATTTATTTTTTTTTTTTGGAGATCCCACTAATAATGCAAATGCCCTTGAAACAGCAGTGGCAGCTTCATTCCTGGTGGTTTCTGCTAAGTGGGGCCTGAGAAAGGAGAGATGACGGTAGAAGAGATTGGGGAAGCAAGGGTGGGGCAGGAGGGGGCGGTTAATGCGCAGGGCAGTGTGAGATGGAGCAAGGAAATACTGCAAATCAGAAAAAGTCATGACAAGAGCAGTTGTAATTTGATAGAAATGAAAGCCTTCCCCACCGCCTCTGGCTTTCCTCCCATCTTAGTTGCTCTGTTGAAGTTTTATTATTTGTAACTACAAAGGAGTAATAATTACTATAACCTAACAAGTCACTGTGCTCCCTAACCACTTGGTCAGATATCAACTCTGACAATCCTGGGTAGTGCTGTAAGACTTCTTTGGATTTTTATCTTCCGAATTTCTATCTGGTATAAAAATTAG